GTAGCTTTAAATTCTCCGCATGTGCAGAAGAAATGTGGGAGAATACTTGCTGCAGCATTGTTAGCAATAAGAAAAAAAGACTGGTAATAATTTAAATAATCATCAGCAGGAGAATGAGCAAATAACATGCTAATACACATGACAGAATGGCATCCAACAGGACAAAAGAGTGAATAAAACTAGGTGTAACAAAGTGGGTATAATTAAGGATTTAGCCACACACAGTTTCAAAACAATCCAACCATACGGTTACGGAGAGTTTCCAATGTGTAAAGCAACACTGTACAATGTTCAGGTCAATGGATGCAAAAGTGTACAGTAAAGGGGTAAAAACATTTTTAAGAAAGAAAAACACACTAACACCTCTCTCTAGAGAGGAAACACAAGATCCTCTTTCAAATCTGTACTGATCCTTTTTTTTTTACAAAATGATCTACAGCAAATACAGAACAGCATTATTCAATGAAGCTAGACGGGGCATGTAAGATGTACTGATTCTTGAACTGCACTGCTAAAGAGCAAGTGGGAGGGAGAGAGGAAAGGAAGCCAGCATTCCCACAGTGATGTGACCCTGAGGGGTGAGATCCCTCACGGAGCCAGCAGGGGCTGCTCAAGTCCCTGGGGCCTGGGTCATGGGAAAGTCCCAGATTCACTCTAGCCCAGGGGCTGCGGGCTGTGGGAAGCTGAGCTAGCCAGCCTGCCCTCTGTAAATTACCTAGCCCCTCCCTAATGTGGGCACAAAGAAGCTGAGATCTGCCGGTGGCTGACCACCTGATCTGCTTACCAGTTACCACGAGCTGCACCTGGGTCTTGGTCATCAATTCCTCAGGATTCACTACCTTAGACCTAAATCCACTGCTTTCTTCCAAATTCCTCTCCATTTAAAAGATAGACATATGTTTTGCCTGCCATCCTCTGGATTCTTAAAATGAAACAAACTGGCGTTGATTACTACAAACAATGGCAAAATGTTTTTAAGCACTGAAAGAGAAGTTGGGATAAAGCAACAGCACAACTCACGGCTCTACAACAGAGTCCCTTTCCTCGGGGAGGAAGTTCGTGCAGTCAGAAGGAAAGCACCTAGTATGCGACTGGGTGATGGGAAAGCACCTGGAGCAGTGTGCCACACTCTGTGAGGGCTCCACAGACACTGCTGTAACTCTGAAATGGGAATGTCCCCATCTAGGCTTAGAACATGGAATTAAACAGTGAAACTAAAAACACAGACCCCAGTAAGCTGACATGATTACCAGGAAAAGCAGACAACACCGCTTTTATCTAGCAGTTTGTTCTACTAAGTCACCGAGCAAAGGATTGCCAAGTCAGTCTCATTAGAGACAATTAATGTAACAATGCAAGAAAAGCATCTGATGTGCCTTTTTCATGCTTAACACATTTAAGGAAAAAAGATTACTTTTATGGGATAAGAATTTCAAATAAGAAAACCATGATCATAATAAACCATAATAAATCATAAACCACAATCAAAACAGCATGTCCAGCAGCTAACACTCTCTGAGACTTATGACAACTGTGTGATTGGCCACTGTTGTAAGAGCTGCTACCTGCACCCTTCACTGGTTTCACAGCCGCCCTATGAAGAAGCATTAATGCGCTCTAGTTTATAGACGAGGCTAGGACACAGTGTGGTCACCAGGACATTCCTTCTAGGTAAGAGACAGTGAGAAAGAAGGGAGGCCACTCACTTCCTGGATGAAGACTGTAACCAGGAAGAAGGAAAACAGGTTTCCTTGTCAAAACATCTTTGTGCTGCGCTCAGACCACACAGCTGTAAGAAGACACACTCAATTGTAATAATGATTATTAGCTCAAATAATTTGACTAGACCCTAAAACAACATCTCCAGACATTCCTGAGGAAATAGAAGATGGTACATACCAGAAAATTACAGGACTGCCTGACCCTCACACCTAGTCTGTGTAGCAGAAGGAACTAGAGGGTTAGTTTATGATGGTATTCTAGCTTCATCGTGGACCGGCACAAGGGGGCTGGGTTCTGCAACCTCTCTGTGGGGTGGGAAGAGGCTAAGGGGTCCTGTAAGGACTGAGACATGTCCAGAATTCAGAAGTTTAAGTCTCCTCTGCTGCATCTGATTTTGAAACAACAGGAGCAGAGGTCCCTGTAGGGGTCAGCTCTTCTGGAAGCACTCAGAGGGCCAGCTGAGAGGAGTGAGCATGTAGATAATAGTCATAATGCTAGGGACTCAAGTTATCCAGCAGCTCTGGGCTTCTGAAAACAGCTGCTCAAATCCTGCATGCTTGCATTTGATGAGCATCTCAGACCTTTATCTCCTGTGCTCAGTGGATGAAGGGATGACACAGTACAAACAAGCCCACTCGACCTTGTAACAAAAGTAGGTGACCAGTGGGGCCACTAAAAAACGAGAAAGCAGCCCCCACCAGGGCCTGGGGCCACTCAGGCTGGGAAAGCACCTGTAGAAATGCCAAGATCAGCTGTGAAGAGTAAGATGAATAAACATCTCAACGTGTTTGCTACAATTAGGGAAAAGGACCTCTGGAATAAGAAAACTGTGCTCAGCACCACAAACTCTAACAACTGTGTAATTCTGCTCTATGACCGATTTAAGAGGATCACTACCAGGAGAAGGTTTTCCTTCTGCAAAACTGTATTTAGCCAGCTTCCAGGCATATGAACTGCCGTGCGTCATCTACTGTTGAAATCTCTGCAGAGCCTCCTGTGTACAGACCTGGGGAAACACCACATTCAAATCTCTGTCCCTCTTGCAGGATCCCTGTTTCCCACGGTGTGTGTGGCTCTCTTCCTGAGGATGTCATGTTCCTCAGTTACCCAGCACTTGAAGACGGGAGAGAAAAACCAGGCGTGGCAGCTGGTGGAAGCTCGGAGACTTCAAGGTGAGTTTCAATCATGAAAGATGAGAGTGAGGGGAAATGATGACTACAAAAACAAAACTAAAAGAAGAAGAATTTAAAGGGAGAAGAGTTGATGACTATTGTACAGCCACTATCACAAAGGCAAGCATTTACCACTTGAAAAAAAAATGACCTTAAAAGGTAAATTTAAAAAAAAAATTTTTAAAGATGAAAAGAAAAAAAAAAACCCTAACATTATGGCAGCATGCACGTGCGCACACACACACACCAGTAAGAACTGCATGGACAGCTGTAGACTCCCCTATTTTTGCATGCTCAGCCGAGCCCTGGATGGTGCATGTGGAGAGTGAAGGAGGCCTGTGTCCCTGAGGAAGCTGAGGGAGGAAGGGCAGCAGCCAAGGCACTGGTTACAAGCTAGCATTCTCCACATGGGCACAGATGTCTTTTAACCACATAGAATTTATTCTATTAAACCTCTTTGAAAATGTTGGCTTAATGTGGAATCGTTTGTCACCGCTATAGGAAGCTATAGGAGCTTCTGAGAACAGGTATGTCCACCCGTGAACAGCTTAGTGGCTCTAATCCATTGCCCAGAGCCCTTTTTGGTGATTCAAAGCTGAATTCAGCAGGAATAGCTGGAAAGTGGGCTATAAATAAAGAGAATAGCTTGTGATAACAAGGTGCCATGGAGAAATAAACAGGGCAGATTTTGCTTAGGCTTGACTGCTCTAAAAGGGAGCTAAACCCTCTATACTGCAATGGTTTATCAACCTCTAGCAATTTTTTTATCCATCTCAATAAAGATTTGAAGGAATTTCATAACTACTTTTGCACATCCCCAAGAAGAGCTAAAGACCCAATGATGTTTTAAATAGCTCCAAACAGGTTGATTATTTCAGCAAAACAATGGTTTTTGAGACATTTTAATCAAGACTCAGGATTTATGTAAGAAGCAGCTCAGGCCCACCTTGCCTGACATCCAGGGGTTATGCCAGTCCCTGGAGATCAGAGAGAGACCACAAGCAACGATGCCTTCCCACATCCTCCCACGTCAATTGGCCTCCTCTCCCTGGTCCCTCTTGTAACTCAGGTAACTATGGATCATTTCTTAGAATGAATAACTAATCTTGCCACCTCCATCCCTCAAATCACTAAGTGGCCCAAACGTAGAAGTGCCCTGAGTTACACAATGGAGATATGTTTAGGAAATTACTCAAAAGATAAATTCTAAATAAAGCATTCAAATTTCTTGCTGTTTCAAAAATTCTATGATTTTTTTCTTGATGCATGGCACATCTTTGGATGGTGAGTCCATCTGAGGATTGCAAAGCTACCTAAATGGTCACGGGGTGCCGTGGAACCAGGACAGCTAACACCGTGCTTGGCTATGTTTGGGCAGACAGCACGTGCTCCATCATGATGAGGTCTTATCCAAACTGCACACTCAGGTCAGAAACTCCAGGAAATAAACAAGTTTGTGGACACTAGAAAAGAGTCGCTATCTCATCTCACTGTTTTTACTTAAATACATTTGTATGGATTCATAGATTTCCTGAATCTACTCTAAGTATTGTGCAACTTTCACTGATCAAACACTGTTTATTAAAAGGGCATAAGAATAGATATATGAATCGAGAATTAAATGTCCCCACACACTGAGTGCCATTTGTCACTTATTCACAGTCTGCTATTCTGCTATGGACCTTATTAAGGATTAACAAAAACCAAAAAGTCAAGACCAGAAGCCTAAGCAACCCCCAGCTGCAGAAAGACAATCTGGAAGTAACCGATCTAACACTGACATGGGACAGAGGAGCTGACAGGAGCTGTAGCAGGGCAGGAATGCTGAGCAGGGACCCCCTAGGGCAAAAGGCGCCTTCCTTTAATTAACTAGAATGTCATTGTGCTTCTTTTTATTTTGAGACATGCTGTTAATCAACCTTCTTTGATCAATGATAATAAAATTTAGAGGAGGAAAATGACTCATATGCTCTATAAAGGAGAGAGACCTGCATGCTCACGTGTATATGGGACATGCGCTTGAGGAACATGAGCCGCAAGGCCGACCTCACCCCGGCCAGAGGCGGGAACAGCACGCAGGGCACTGCGCTGTGGGCCTGGACGTACCTGCTGGAAGGGCCGGGCCTGGGCCTGCCTAAGGAGCCTCTGCTGCTGCTGCTGCTGCAGAAGCTTCATCTGGATCAGCTGCTGCTGCGAGGTGATGGCGTGGAGGGCGGGGGGCTGCATCATGGCCCCCGAGCGCCGCTGCAGCATGTTGGACAAAGCTTGCTTGGTATTGGTTGGGACAAAGGAGCCTGCAGGGTCCAACCTGGAGCCACCTACAAGGCAACCAAAGGAAGGGCTTTCTAAGTAGGCAATCGCAACTGCTCTTCTTTATCTTGTCAACACGCAGAGACTTCATCCTCTCAGCCTCAGTTTAAGAGCAAAATGGAAAATAAGGTATTGACCTCCATGCTGCAAATGTTGAAGATTTGTTGAGCGGCATCATTCCCAGAAGATGGGGAGAGTGACAGAGCTATAATCACAATACCTTAACAGAGGCTGCACTTTGGTTACAAATCGAAAGGCCTGAAACAAGGAGGATCTGGCATAATTCCAGAACTGTGTGGGTTTAACTTACCTGAGGCCCTCAGAACAAATTACCTGCATGAAACACATCCTGGGTATATTTTGGCCACTACCCTGAGCTAGGCATACAAACCTTTTATAAATTTTAAACATATTTGAAGCTCATGTTGCTTAAGCTCCTTTTCACTATGAGCAAAATAAGAATACTTGTTTTGTAGAACAAAGGCATGAAAATAAAAACTTCAAATATTCTGACATTTTAAATAGCATGAACATAAAGACAAAACATTTCTTTTCTGAAGGCTGAAAACCCAATAAATTGGGCACAATGATCTGCTGCCTAAGAAATCAAAGGAATCCTGAGCACATTTGCATATATAACCTGTCAAATGCAAGAATGAATCAAAAAAATTTTTTTCAACGTTTTCTGGCTTTACAATGAATGCCAATCCTTCCTCCCCTGAATGTAGTCTATATTCTTTGATGTATATGAAAGGAAAGTTCTGAGTAAAGATAGATGACATAATTTCTAATGAGCAATTTGTTTGATGGAAACAAATATTCCAAGAGGGTTCACATGGAAAACCTGTTATGTTAAAGACTCTGCGCCCATCGCCTCACCTCCTACTGAACATATTCTGAATTGAGAATTGAGTGTCCATTACTCCCTGGCATTTCAGCATACTGTGCCCGTGCTGACAGCTACACAAGATGGACAGAGGGGAGGCAGGTAGCAGTGTGTGTACATGGGGCAGAGCTGCCTGGCCCTAAAACCACGTGAGTGGCATCGTGCTGTGCGTACACGGCTACAAGTCGCAAGGCTCTTTTCTTATACAAAAACCAATTCATTATATCCTCAGAAATGATTCTTCTTCAAAACTGCTTCCTTACACGAGCCTATGGCTAAAGGTCTTCAACCCACACACCGTTTAGTGATATGCCAGGGAAAGGACGCGTGGCCATACACAGGTTGACCTTCGGTGCAGACAGCCTGGTATTTCTCTTCAACACCTAACAAGCTTAAAATGGCTGAAAAGATGACGCAGACCTTAGGATTATTAAGCTGTAACCTGCTTTCCAAATTTATTACTATGTCTAGTTTGATTACTCTGTGATCATTGCAGTCTACATTCATTCACTCAATGGCCTTTTATTTATTTTATTCATTTTTTGAGATGGGTCTCACCACATTGCCCAGACTGGCCTTGAAGTCTTGGGTTCAAGGGACCCTCCTGCCTCATCCCCTAGGCAGTGTGACTGCAGGCGTATACCACTGGGCCCACCAACAGTCTGCTTTTCAGAGGCCATGGCGGCTCTCACTCCCTGGGGACACTGTGGTGACTGTAATGGGGGAAACCCTCGACTCCACAAGGCGGGAAGGTAACAGAATAAAGCAAAACACGAGAAGAGCTGAGGCTCTGGCGGAGCAGGAAGGAGTGGGGTGCACAGTGCAAGGACAGCGTGGCTGGCATTTCCAACAGGGCAGCTGGCACTGACAGCCTCACCCACACAGACTTTGGACGCAGAGCACAGTGGCAGAGCCAGCACAAGGGCCCAAGGTGCCACATCCTGCTCTGCCAGGACCCTGACAGGGCCACATATACATGACATTGACTCTAAAATTTACCCATGTACTTGTGTGCATGACAAACTTTACTTAATGGTGTAAAAGATTATAGGCATTTTTGTCCTTCAAATTGAACTGATTTCTAATTAAGAGAATGTTTTTATTTAAAAAAAAAAATCTTCCCTTGGATTATAAAATCTAATTAGGCTCAAATGGAAAACAATGCTACAAGCCAGAACATTCACAATAGATACGGTAGTTTTCCTTGTTGTATCTAAAATGTACCTGCTGAACCAAATTTCCAAGTTGATTCATGATATGATTTAAACTTCATATTAGAAGACAAAAGACACTATGATACTGTCTAGTCTTCTAAATGATATCTGATTAAATGTAAATTTCACAACACAGAACTTTAATCAACATTATCTCATAGTTTAGACTTTAATTAATGGTGATTTTATTCTAACACTGGAAGAAATTCTAAAATCGGCACATATACTCATAATTGAAACATTAATTTTGTTTATCTACTCCTTCATTTTTGAGATGGGATCTCACTAAGTTGCTCGAGCTGGCTTGACCTTGAGGCTCAAGTGATCCCCACACCTCAGCCTCCTGAGTAGCGGGGGCCACTGCTGTGAGCCAGCACACTGAGCTGGAACCTTCGTTTAGAAGAACACATTTTGAGTGGAGGGAATGTCAATTAATCACTCACTTCTTGCAATTCATGAGTTTTGTGGCGGTTTCGTGTTAAAAGCAGCAAGGACCCCAGACTATTTCTCATCTTGGACAGATCCAACTGTGCCCTCCTCCCACGTACCTGGAGTGAGAGCCTGGTTCTGAAGGAAGAAGCCGGGCTGCTGGGTCTGGCCCATGAGGTTGTAACCCCACAAGGTGGACTGTGGATGGTGCATCATTTGGGAGGAAATGGGTGAGTAGTTGGGAGGCACTCGGTACACGCTGCTCTGTGGATATTCCTTCAATGGAAAGACAAAGCAGAAAGTTCACCTCTGTACAACACATAGCAAATTAATGCAAATTCTTCCTGTTTGGCATATTTATTTATTTATTTATTTATATGTGGTGCTGAAAATCAAACCCAGTGCCTCACACATCCTAGGCTGGCGCTCTGCCACTGAGCCCCAGCCCCAGCCCCTATTTGGTATTTGAAATGTCTCCTGCCCCAGTGTACAAAGCTATTTTAATAAAAGGGCAGATGAAAAGCAAGAAGGCTGTTCTCAAAACACTCCTCTGCATAGCTGGCTGGCAATGCAGCTTCGTAGGAGACTACCTGCTAGCACGCACCAGGCCTGGGTTTGACCCCAGCACCAACAACATGAAATAAAGTCAAATAAAAAGCACTTGCCTTACAGTGGGCAGACGCAGAAATGATCTCTTTTGAACTACTTTTTCAAATACTGAAAGTGGGGCTGGGGGTGCAGCCCCATTGTGGAGTGCTTGCCTAGCACATGCAAGACCCTGTTTCGATCCCAAGCACCCCAAGAACAAAACAAACCAAAAAGCAAAATGCTGAAAGCGCACCCCATCTCCCACACTGAACGAGGCCCACAACTGACAACGCGTCCTCGAGGCTACATCTCCTGAAGCCTTCTGGACTCCTGGGTTCAGGGGAGAGAGGCCCACGATTCAGAACAGCTCCTGCTGGACAGTCTCTTACCTGCTCACCTCATCCCCTGAGGTCCCTCACAGTGGTGCACAGGCTCGCACCAGAGCGTCTCCACTCCCCACTCTTCCCTAATCTAGCCCTAAGGGGTGAGGGACAGTAGAAATCTCAGTGTCAAAAATACATGTCTCCTAGGGAGCAGGTGGCTCCGGGAGGTCAGCAGGAGAGGACCTGACCAGAGTCCCTTGGGGAACAAGAGGCGGAAAAGGGCAGAAGTCTACCCCTGTGCATGTGCAAGCTGGGAGGGCCCCACAGGGGAGGCTCCACCTGCAGCACATTAAACAAATGCTCAGACTAAGCAATATTGACAGGAAGAGCATCTAGGAGGGGCACTGGCATTCGAGCAGCCCCAGAAGAGGGCCGCCATTTGTAGAACAATGATGACCACCGAGCTGTCGGCCAGCCTGGTTTTGACATAGGTGAACTACAGTGATTCTCCATGAATGTTTCTTACGTCATGCAGCAAGAACATCCTTGAATTTTAGAGAAAAATATTCAAATTCTCTCAACTATTTTCCAAGTGACTTGAGTGGAAGATATTTTAAAGGTTACATCTCACATTCTATAGAATCGTTTCCAAATTATTGTCTGATACATCTCTGATGTTTGAAAGAAAATATTGCTGTTGGTAAGGAATACCAACAGGGAAGTGAGGGGATAAACTATTTTAAATTAGGATTACTTCATCTTTTATGAAATATGAAAGATGGTGAACAAGTGGAGTAGGCAGGAGGGCCCAGTCCTGCAATAAAGGCGATACCCCAGGAATAGCTTAATGGCCATGCTGGGTGCGACTGTATCTAGGGGAAATCATGGAGCTTTTGGTTAATATGCTGACAATATCAACCACCCAAAATACAATAAATACTTTAAACATATCTTGTAATAAAAATATTTGAAGGTGGTATTTTATAATGTCAAAATATTAAAATTTCAAACCTAAGGAGGCACTGAAATAGTAGCCCAATAGCATTCAAGACAGAAGCCTAAAATACAACAAGGTTGTTAAAAGTGGAGGAGGGAAAAATCACAAAGCTTCAACTCTGCGGTCCATGGCCATCATCCCCGCCCTTCAGTTAGCATGCAGGCCTGGAGGATGAGGTCCTGTCAGCTGACACTGATGTCTCTGGGGTGCGGCCTGGCCAGCATCCACCACCCTGCATCCATCCGCCTGCCCTGCCCTGCATCCACTGTCCTCCGTCCTTTATCGGCCCAACCTGCAGGCTAAGGATCCAGCCCTCCCTTCCCACTCACATCCCCCCTGGAGCTGGATTTCGTCTTGCGCTTCCTGCCCCTGCTCTTCTTCTCTTCCTCTGTTGCAGTTTTCCCCTGATCTGACAGCTCGGCTGACTTCCTTTCTGGCTCCTGAGAGACGGGTGAGGCGGGCTCCTCCTCCTCCTCCTCAGGAGGCAGGGGCAGCGGTTCGAGGTAGTAGCTCCGGGGCTTGGGTGTGGGGTGTGTGTGGTACAGCAGCAAGTGGTGCTGTTCCTCGTACTTGATCACTTTCCGGTCCACACGGACGGTCCCAAACCAGGCCCAGGACAGAGGAGCGGGGTTCTTCTGGCCCTCAAATAAGTCCCACGGGGACACCTTCTGCTTGGCAGAGACCTGGAGGCCCTAGGGTAAAACAATGCTCTGTGAAACGGCCCTCAGATCCCCCGATCCACAAGCCAGGCTTGCTAGCATGGTGGCCCAGAGAGCACCAGGCTGGCCGTGGGCTTTGGAGAAGCCCAGGTCACAGCAGACAGGGTAGCTCGGCCAAGTCACCGAAGGGCAGTGGCCAGAGCTCAGGACTCACATGGGTCCACAGTTCCTTACACCACATGACACTCTGTTCAGGCAAAACCACATCATCTAGTGTATTTTACTATAAAACAGCATTTTTCATTTAGTTTGCTTTAGCAAAACAAGTAGATAAAGTTCTAAAATATATTGAAAAGTAATCTTTCTCACTAAATTATAGCCAGTTCTAAATCTCCAACATCTATTTATTATTTTTAAAATAACACAAAATTTAAGGGTCAAGATACAATCACTTCTAACTGGGTTCAGATTAACTTCAATGCAAACCACAGAGCACTTAACTCAATATGCGGCCCCTCCACGCACTTAACAAACCAGGCCTGATAAAGCAGTCCTGTGACAGAGCGGGACATGGGAGCATGCCCGGCCTTCCAGTCCCAGCGAGTCTCTGATGCTCTAGAAGAGGACTGCTATTCTGAAAATAAAATGTTCTTTCTTCTGACGTGAACTGCTGATGTTTCTTACTACTTTCTCTCATATACCAACTTGAATACATTTTCTCTCAAAACAGCCGCCCCAATAACTATCGGGTCATTCCACAGGATGTAATGCTTAGGTACACTTGCTCTTACGTGGGTGACAGGGCTCAGTCACCACCTGTAAAATAACCACCTGTTTCCTACTATCTGTCTGGGCATAAACAGCACACGTCCAAGGGGGCTCCGGCTGTCTCTCCACCAGGGAGCCCAAATTCAACAGGATCACAGCCCAGCTTTCTCTCTTTCCATGGCCACACTTGGTGCTGGGTGCTCAGGTGAGTCTGCGTGACAGCAGAACACCCTGTCCCAAGAAGACACACTCTCCACATCTCCTCAAGATCTTTTTGTCTGCCAGCCCCACATTCTTCCCTCCCTCCTTCAAAACGACCCACGTGTCAACTACACCAGGGAGCCTGCTCTGACCACGGCCCAGATCTGCGTCTGAAGGCCTTTCCCCAGACCACCTAATACACTCTCAGCACCACGACCCACAATCGCACTGTTAATTGTCTACCTACTTCTGCTTGAGGGCACAGTTCTGCTTTTATCTCTGTGACCGTGGAAAATCTGTGGTTGCTCAGTGTTCACTGAGTGACCACTCTTCTTACACGCAGCAAACCTGCTTAATCTCTTATAGAAAGCAAGTGCTTAGTTAATATTGTTTCGTAAGAATATGAAATATCATATATTGAAATAATTCTGCTCAAAAGAGCTTACTTATAGTGCATGAAAATGTTTATCAATAAATATCATCTTTTCTAAACCCACTCTTCTTGCATTCTGCAGTAAGATAAAAACTTTGCTGGTTTTTGACACTAAGCTTTTACTTAGTTTTCACTTGGTAGATTTCAGAAAGTTCCTTAAATCCAGGTAAACCTTATAAATTAAGGTCTTCAAAGATCTGTTTGCATTATGATGCCAATGACCATTGCATTGAGATGACAAGAGTGTGCCTCAAAAAAACAACAACAAAAACAAGAAACTGCAAAACTGAGGTGTGTGTACACCCTCTAGAAACATAAGACGACATATCTGGCTTCTGTGAAAAGCTGCACCGTGCACAGGAAAAACATTTACTCTTGCCTGTTTTTTATCTATTGAGTCGAATCCAGCGATTTTGTTCCCCTTGGTGTCGATCAAGGAGCCCATGGGCTCACAGGTGATGATGTCACACGTCTGCTTCGGCAGAGGCAGCAACTGCCGAACTTTGTCAATGCTCTCTGACCGCTTGTCTCCCAGCTCTTTCTGAAAGGAAAAAGAAAGGAAGGAAGGAAGAAAGAAAGAAAGGAAAAAGAAAGTGAGAAAGGGAAGTGGGCCAGAAACTCAGAAACGACCGTGAAGGCAAAAGTTGACAAGGAGGAAGCTCCCCCTGGAGCATTTCCCTTTTTGAAGTCAGCGTGTTCTTGAACCCTGAACGTGGTCTGGGGAACAGGATCAAGTCAGGCTGGCCTGTTTCATTTCTTCTATTTAAGTAGAAAATAGCCTACACATATGCAGTTGTTGTTACACAACAAACATCACAGTGCTGAAGTGACAAAATTCAGGGTGCCATCTGCAACTAGAGGACAGGAGCTGGCGCCGAGCACTTGGGGTCCAGGGACAGACCACAAGGTAACCACCACTTATTTATTTATTGGCTATTTTAAGATCAGCGGATAAGATATACTTTCCTTGTTGTGCTATTTATTTACAGTTTGCTTCAAATGATGTGTCAGTGGTTAGTCAAGTGAGTGGATTTACAAATATCAACACAGATGCTTATTTTTGAACTACATGCACAAGTCTGAGCTTGGATTTATCCTAGGTTCAATGCTGGCATTTTGGTTATGTATTTCATAATGTATGTTTAATGTCTCTTAAAAAATTACACGTGTTTTAATATTTAATTTAAAAACAATCTTTTGGATGCTTGTAAAGTTTGGGGTATTGGTGAGCTGAAGTGACATAAACAGCAAATACATTAAATTAATTTGAATGCAATAAATATTTAAATTAACCAGTAGTAAAAATAAAATGCACCAGATAATAAACAATTTATAACATAAGCCAATCACAAACTTACTTTTAACTTCTTTACTAAATTCATATATGCACGTTTGTTCTCTTCTGAGCCTCCTGGGGATGCACTTGATAGGTCAGAGGCTAATGTCCCATTGATCAAAACACCCAGCATGTCAAGGACTGTTGTGAATAATTCACTAAAGGGGAAGGAGAACAACTGTTTTCATCATAAAGCACAACTAAAATATACTTAATTAACTGGGCACTTCTACTGATGGCACAATTTTTAATGACACCTGAATCAATAAGATGTAGCAGCATTTGTCAGTCTATCAAGGCCAGACTATCCAAATGCCAGGCACGCACACGACAGAACACATGTTAAGGGTGCAAAACGTACTTGTTGGTGTGCATGTCCACGGTTCCTGAGGTGATGATCTGCAGCAGCAGGAGGGCCCATTCTGCCGTCCACTGGGTACTCCTCTGCACTGTGTCGAACATCCCTCCCACCTGGCATGCAAACACAGCGTGAGAGAAGACCACTAGCCCTCACTTCATGTGGCCAGAAGGGGAGATGCTCTACTTTATGGAGGACAGATTGCTCTAACTTCTTTCTCAATAGCTTTGTGACTATCACTACTACTGGGTTCTTTACACAGTTTGGTCATTGAAATATGAAAAGGGTAATATTTAAGTGTGGTACCTATACAGTTAGTTTTCTTCCTAGTCTTTCATGATATTCAATTTTATGATGCAATTGTAGTTGAATTAAACCTAAATATAATCAAAACTCTCTAATCCAATTATTGGCATCTTGGTGCTGTTCTGTCCCTACTTAATCTGAACCTGAGACCAGGACCGCTTGGAAATGCCCACTACACAGATGTAATGACGAACAGGGGATTGGCCCAAGACCTGCCAGGTCCTGTGTGTGAGGATTAAATTAAAAACAACCACCCAAACATCAGGCAAGCCACTCTCCAGGGAAAAGAGACATGCAAAGGAATGCACTGTGTGGGAGGAAGCCCACGTTTCCATACAGCACCCTGTGAGGCAGGTCTTCTTAACAAATCTAACAGGAGGTCTCCCACGATGCTGAGTTGAAGGACTTTAAGGTTCTTAAAGAAGTATCACAAGAGCCAGTGCTCATTTCAAAATTGAGTCCTCTGAGAACCAATCACAGTACAAGCTGAAGCAGAAGGGAGGTGGGCTGGATGGGGTGGGGACAGAGAGGATGAATCATTCTTAAAATACCTTCTGCTGTCTGGAACTCAACACAGACAGGAAGGAGAGCCAGGAGAAGAGAAGGCTAGAGAGATGGGAAAGTCCTGAGGTCTTGATTATATTTAGGCTCTGCTCGTGGACACAGGTGAGCACTGGAGCCATGGTCACAAACATCCATGAGCAAAGAGGGCACACTAGAAACACCCCTTACCAAGTTCAGGCGCAGCTGCAGAGCTTCGTGCATCATCTGCCGAGCCTTGATGTCATCCTGGTACCTTTCTTCCTTCCAGTTACTTAAAATCTAAGACCCAAAAAAGAAAAAAAGGAAAAATAAAAACTTTATCTCTGTTAAAACTGAATCTTTTTCATATTTAAAGTAAAACTAAACCTTTCCCAGACAGCCAAAAACAACTTCCGCTTTAACAAGGAATGTTGCATGACATTTCAGCTCTGCCCCTTTTCCTCGGTGCACACAGAAACCTGGTCATTGCTTTGTTTATTTGCCTTTCAAGGTGGGGAAGTAAATCTTATCTAGTTGCATGTACTGCCTCTAGGTCTTGGAAAAGGCATCAGAAGGCCATCAAGTTCAAGCTTAACACATTTATTAACCCTAACAAATGTATTATGTTGATCTTATTGAAAAGGAGGCTTGCTATCTTCAGGAACACTAATTCCTTGATGAACAACAGACTATTCTGAAAACTGTGGACATCAATCAGCTGAGCAGCATTTCAATTTAGAAAGTGAGCTGCTTCTTCATTTCCTCGCTGACTCAGGCCAGTGCTGAGGACAGGAAAGTTCACTGAGGAAAAGCAGGCCACAGTGACCACACCCAGGCCCAGACGGCAGGCTGACTAGCTAACAAACCCAGCATGGCCGCAGAGAGCCACAAGTGGAAGTACCCTCCCAGCAGATGTCCCACCAGCACATGCCATGGGCAGAGTGTTTCCCAAACTTCTCTAGGAGGCTCAGGCCCCTCAGGCTGAATGCCGGGTGCAGGGCTTAGGGACACAGGTTCTCACAGGGCTCACAGTATAGCAGCAGCATGAATCAAAACAAGTATATCAAGTGGCCTGAGGCAGGGCGAGGCAGGGCAGGGATGGTAAGGACAGAGGCCCTATTTTCAGGGGGCAATCGCCACGGCCTCTCTAAACTAACACCTGAAGGAAGGGAGAAGCAGGCCAGGCTGGCACCTAGAGGGAATCCTTCCAGCTAAAGGGGAGAGCAGGTGCTTTTGCTCGGGAAGCAGGAGAACAGAAGGAAACATGCCAATGTGGCCCTGCAAGCTGAGCAAGGCGGTAACTGGTAGGAAGCAGGCGGAAGAGAGCAATCTACAAATTGTTAGGGGGTCTAATTAGCCCAGACTGGATTTTTATTCAAGGTATAAAAAGAAACATGGGAGCATCTTAGACACAGGGATAGTAAGTGCTTTGCATTTTAAAAGCATCCTATCCAGCAAGGGAGAGATGACCAGAGAAACACGTGAGACCATGCCCTCGTCCATGTCCTTCCAGTATCCCTAGGGAAAAGGCACGGTGTCCACAGGCACAGTGCTACAGGAAGGGGCCACCGGCTCCGCACAGGGACGGGCCATCTCACACCCTTGGCTTCTTCTTCCCACTCACTTGACTTGATTCCTTGCACTGAGGTTTCTGACCTCCATGTAGTACACAGAACACAAGTGCCCCAAGCTGCCCAGAAGAACTAGGGGAGTGGGAAAAAAAACCCAAAGCTTTTGTGAAGGAACAAACAGGCCTCCAGCTTACAAGTGACTTTCTTGTGCACTTGGCTGGCATCAACCCGGCTCTCGCAGGCCAGTAAAACAGTTCCTGAGCCTATGGAGCTCAGTTGGAGACCCTGCTGGGTGGGGCAGCCCCACCTGAGGAGTGGACTGCTTCTGGGAGGCAGAGCGGGAGTGGCAGTCACTGTGCCTCCCCGGGTGTAGGCCATTCGATTTCTCCATCTATACACATTTATGCTATGCATGATTAATATGACAGGTCTGTTACCCCTGCGGAGACCAGGATAACAGGTAGGAGACAGGGCACTGCCTGGCCTTGAATGGAAGCCTGCTGTGCCCTTCTGTAAGCTCAGCACTGGAATCTGCTGGGAGCTGCTGGCCTGCTGGACACCATGCGGTCCTTTACCTGGTTCACTTGATTCTGGAGGGACGTTAGCAGACCTTCTCGTTGCTCATCCTGTCCCTTGAGACAGGTGAGGACCAGCGAGAGGAATGGCTGTTGACTCAGGAGAGACATGCTGCAGGAAGGAAGAACAGTAAGGTCAGCTAGCACCTGCTGCTCCACCCATCTCCTGGGGCCTGTCCCCTGGGTGTCTGCTCCTGTGTATTTACTATTAGATGAAGGGGGATAGGGAATAGCCAGAGAGGCCTGGAAAGTTAAATCACACCTCTGCTTACAAGGTTAAAGACACTAATGGTTCTAAATGAGCGGATAGCGGATAGTGCTGATGCCAGAAGGCACCCCAGGGAGGTGAATCTGCACTGCTGTGAGTGCCCTGGGGGATCGGGATGGAATACAAGGAAAAACTGAGAAATTTCTCAGCCAACACTCTTATTTTAGAGTCTAGGAAACAGGCTTCTATGTATGTTATGAATATTTGGGGGCTTTGCCTTAAGTTTTCAAGACCAAACAGCAGGGTGTTGGTACAGTTAGGATCAGCTGCAAGATCTGAGGATTCCAAAAATGGGGTTCTTGCTAGTGACCTAGGGGTACCACCAGCCTAAAGCCATGGGTAGTGGGGCATCAAGGCATTTGGCAAAAATTCTATTTTAAATTGTTTTTTTAATAGAGTATCTGCAATTAGAGAACAAGGATGAATCCATGCTCCATTGGAAAACAAAATCGAAGATAAAATATTAAGCTTCATCTCACAGGGGCAGAATAGGACACTTTCAACCCGGGAATACCACCTGTCTGCCCAGTGAGAGGGAAGTGAGGCAGTATAGACATGAATGGCACCAGCAAATGCAATTTGAGAGGTCAGGAAGGGCAGCCACTGACAGTACTGCCAACCACGAGATAAGGATGTGGATGTCTGGAATGTTTACGAAATACAAGGAATCGTTTTTTCCTTTTTATCGGAATGCTGAGTCACATTGTTGGGGTTTTAGTGATCAATAACAGTGATCAAAAAATTAGTTTATGGCTTAGAAGTTTTAATATCTAATCTAGCACAAGAGCCCTAAATGTCAGAAATATTGGTAAGTACTTCAAGGTTCAGCATGCCAATAATTACAAAGTAGCTCTGTGTATTTTAAACATGAGTACCTAATTAATAAGAAAGTTAGAAATAATTAAAAATAAAATCCAGAATGCAGGCGGCTCTATAGATCCCATTCATGGATCGGATGTGGGCCTTGGAGTGGACAAGTTCAGAGGCCAGCAGGGATCTGGATGCACAAGTGAAGTTGAGAATGAGTGTGGCAAATCTCACAACCTGGAACGTTTTAGGAACAGGGACTTTCCTAGAAGAAGATTTTTCATTCCATTTAAAAACTAAGTTTCAGTGGGCATTGGGTGTAAGAACCGTCAGCTAGAGCGTACTAGAATTCCTCAGCTGTCCTTCAAACTCCCCCAGAGACACCCCAGGAGCCTACCTTTTCTGTTTCTGTCTATCACGCTCCTTTTTGGAAGAAGAACCCAAGTGCTGCCCCTTCTCCAGCTCTTCCCCAGCAGCCTTCAACACCCGCCCCTGCACAGAGGTGGGCAGCCTGGCGATGAGGGGGGCCACCAGCCACACGCCCCTGCGTTCAGAGGAACTAAAATCAGAAATAGGCGTTACACCCGAGCAAGCCTGAGTCTCTGCTCTCACAGTTCCACAGAAACTTCAGAGCACAACTCTGGTGCACCAGAAGCACACTACCCCCAATTCCCTTTGATTTCTGCACTATCTTTCCTGAAGACCAGGCCCCTGGTCACACTTGCCACCCACAGTTACCCAGGGGAGCAATGAAAGGTGCTTCTGGGAGGATACCGTCAACTGAGCTATCTTTTAGCATTTTTCTTTTTGATTCTGGCTCTATGATTAGTGATAATCCTTTTGTCCAACAAACAACACTCTTTGATCATGCTCACAACATGAAATGTTGCTATGTATAATCATACTAATCACAATTTTTTTTAATTTTAAGATTCACCAGCTATATTTTTTATCAAAATGATGAGATACAAATCTTCCTTTCATGATTCAAGGATTACTTTGCGATTTCATATGCCTGCTGGATCTAAATCAGAACTCAAATCACCATGAGGCTTGTGAAAAGCTGCCAGTTACTAGAGGTGGCCAATGCGTTTCTGAGATGCTGAATATCCAGGAACACAGTAGCCCGGGGGATGAAGGTCAGGTGTCCATGTGCATTCATAACACCAGTACTTACAAAGAGTCTGGGCCCGACTTAACCACATAGTGAACACACTAAGATATCTCCTGCCCTGGCTTTGCCCTTTAACCTATTAAATAACAGTAACTGTCACTTAGCAGTCATTATTCTCTTCACATTTTCTGCAGCTTAATGAAAAAAAAAAAATAACTGAGTTATGCGAATGCAATTGCCCATTACGTGTGTAAAGTTCAAGACAGCCCAGTCAACTACACAGAAATACCTGAGAAAGGTCTTGATTCCATTTTGCCTCGTGCTACTGGTATCAGCGCCCCCGTTGCCACTGGGGTGGAAAAGGCCCATGCCAGAGTGCGAGGAGTTGTTGTTCAAGTCGGCGGACTGCTGGAACACCTCAATGGTGGCCTTCGCAATGTTGTCCAGCAAGTTGTTCATTTCAGCCACAGACCCGGAGCCCTAGGGTGGCCAGAGAGAGGCCACGCATGCGGCTGGGTTATCCCAGGCAGCAGCCCGACTTTGCTCCCCGCAGCTCTTCCCACCCAGGCTTGTAACAGCTACTCACAGGGTCCTTCAGGCACTGCTTGATCATTAGCTGAAGTTCCAGCCAGGACTGCCTCAATGTCCACTGCTCCAGATTCTGGGGAAAACAGAAGGATTGAAAGTAGGCAACCCATGTCAACACACAATCAGTCCTAGCAGGACACCCACTCTCAGGAAAGAGCAGGGTGATCTTACACAATACAAGTATTTACATGGGTAAAAGGATCCAATCCTGTTACATATATTCAAAAGGATAAATAGCATCAATATAATGTTCCTGACTCAGCTAGGAACTAAAAACGAATAAAACTAAAATTTTGACTCACAATATCCAATTATCTAATTGACCCCATTCCAAAATGATTTCACTAATTCTTGAATAACATATTTAAGCCTGTCCCTCCCTGCAGATCATTTCTCAAGTAAATACAGCACGGACTTAAAATACCAATATTTATCTGATGATTATATACAATTCCCAGCATCTACACCTACCTAGCACTAACTCGTTGCCATTCTACAGGAAAGAAAACTGGGGGAATAAAAACCAGAGTTGACCTGCATCAAGAATTAGCAATGAAAGGGGAAGAACCGATCCCTCTTCTCGCAGTGCACGGCGTGCTGAGGGTACCTGCAGGATGCGCTTGATGTGCTGCCTCTGCAGGTTGTCACCCTCCGCGCACTCCTTGAGGCCGTGTGGGTAGCAGATGAGCTGCAGGAGCTTCTGTGCTTGCATGTTGGAAAGCACGGGGTCCAGTATCAGCTCTTTGTCTGTACACAACCTTTCAGGTTCTTTTAGGCAATGTTCTCCTACCCATTCCTGGAAGGAAGAAGGCCATTTGTTGGACAGCAACTGGCTTTCCACATGTTTATGTAACATACACTTAAGTCAGAGCAAAATGACATGTGAGACCGAGGAGAAGCTTCATGAAAAAATAACCCATAAAAATGTATCTGCAAAAAGTGTTAGGTACAAAATTTCTGGCATTTTGATTTCTTAAAAATACAAAGTGGAACCTAAATGAGGAAAAAAATTGGAAACAGATGAGCAAAAAAAAAAAAAAAAAAAGAAAAAGATAATACTGGAATATGTTTTCCACTGGTAAGAACATAGGATAAGATATTTAGAAATTTTTCTCTTTATGATACTATGAATATATTACCATTATAAAAAATAACTGTGCACATCTATTTGCCATACAGTTATTATTATAATTTTGCTGAGTCAATGAGCCTGCCAAAAACTTAAGGAAGCTCTATGCCTAGAGCTGACTGCCCTCTGGAGAGTGGCTACTCAGTTAAATTTCTTAGCAGCTTTGCTTCACCATTTTTTCAAGTGCAAATTCTTGTACTAAATGGTTTTAAAAATCATCAGTGTTAAAAGTTTCATTTGACCCTATATGTGTTTCAGATGAAGCCTCTTTTGAAACCACCATGCCAGTGACCCGATGCTAACCATCCATTAAATAAGTCGCCTGTGGCGTTTATAAGATTTCACATCCAGACACCCCATCAGACCAGAGACCACTGAAATCAAGCTCAGGTGCTGGTACCCAGATATCAGTATTTTTTTTTCCTAAGCATCAAATCAATCATTCATCCATTCATTCCATCAATTTTCGCTTCTAGCACTGACAGGCTGAGCCTCCCAATGGGCTTGGACCTCTGGGACCCACTGCAAGAAGTCCACAGCAGGCCCAGCCACCACCCTTCCTGCACTCGCCTGCCTGCTGGCTTTGGTCAGATCCAGGTATCAAAACAATTGCAAATGCCTCTGGTGATAACAGGGTGCACTCACAGTGGGGACCAAGGCACAAGTGCCCCTCAGCTCTACGTCACTATTTAGTGGACTTTATCATGGTGACCACAAACCTACAAAGTACAAAACATGGTCTTGATGACTTGACCTCTGTAGCAAAATACAAAACATATAGGGACTTCAAGGATATACCCGAAAATAACAAAACTGGTGAGCTGGGGCAGGGAGGAGCAAGGGATTTGGGAGGAAGGACACATTTCTGATTATACTCTTGTGTGTAGTTTAACTTTTGTAAGTAGTTATTCTATAATAAGGCTGAGGGAAAAGACTCTAAACTGAATGCAAACAGAAACAAATGAACCCAACTTGATTTCAAATTAGGAATGTATTCATACTAAGGGAGAACGCCCAAGTAATTTTTTTTTAGTCTTTTTTTTAATTTAAAATTTTGTATTTGTTCTAATTAGATATGTATGACTGCAGAATGCATTTTTACGTATCATACATAAATGGAGTATTAATTCTTATTTTTCTAGTTGTATACAATGTAGAATTACACCTGTCATGTAACCATATATGTATATAGGTTAATAATGTCTGATTCATTCTACTATCTTTCCCACCCCAATATCCCCTCCCCTTTCTTCACTCCCCTCTGTCTAATCCAAAGTACCTCTATTCTTCCCTAGCAATCTATACCCTTATTGGGAATTAGCATCTGCATATAAGAGAAAACATTCCACCTTTGGTTTTGGGGGATTGGCTTGTTTCACTTCTCATGATATTCTCTGGCTTCATCCATTTGCCAGCAAATGCCATGACTTCATTCTTCTTTAAGGCTGAGCAATATTCCATTGTGTAAATGTACTACATATTCTTTATTTATGAATGTACCTTTTTCCCCACATCCTCACCAACATTTATTGGTGCAAGTATTCTTGATAATTGTCATTCTGACTAGGGTGAGGTGGAATCTCAGTGTAATTTTAAGTGGCATTTCTATAATTGCTAGAGATGTTGAACATTTTTTCATATATTTGTTGGCCATTTGTATTTTATGAAGTGTCTGTTCAGTTCCTTAGCCCATTTAATGATTGGGTTACTTGGGGGGAGGGGGGTTGGTGTTGGGTTTTTGAGTTCTTTATATATCCTAGAGATCAGTGTTCTGAGGTGCATGTGGTAAAAATTTTCTCCCATTCTATAGACTCTCTCATTACATTATTAATTTTTTCCTTTGCTGAGAAGAAGCTTTTTAGTTTGAATCCATCCCAGTTATTAATTCTTGATTTTAACTTCTTGCACTTTAAGAAAGTCAGGTCCTGGCTGACATGGTAGAGATCTGGGCCTAATATTTCTTCTATTAGGCACTGGGTCTCTATTCTAGTGCCTAAGTCTTTGATCCACTTTGAGTTAAGTTTTATGCAGGGTGAGAGACAGGGGTCTAATTTCATTTTGTTGCATATGGATTTCCAGTTTTCCCAGCACCATTTGTTGAAGAGGCTATCTTTTCTCCAATGTATGCTCTTGGTGCCTTTGTCTAATGTGAGATCACAGTATTTACTGTAAAAAGTAAAAAGTGAACTGCAAAAACCTTTCCACTCCTCTTGGCAGGCTTGTTAGGCCTAGTGGTAGATGCTAACAATTTGGAAATTATTTTAGGTGTACTTTGTAAGTAAGTAATAATTTACTGATTTTATAAGGAACCAAGGTTCTTACTATGCAGAAGGCTATAATAATATGCAATGCTGCAAAGTAAAGCACAGCTTTGCAGGTTGGCGTGGAACTGGGAGCATCATGTGAACTCATAGTCACACACCGTGCGCATTCACTTTTGTCCTAGCTCTTTCCACTAAGAGAACCCAGGAGCAAGGGTACTCCATAGCAATGAGTATACTCAGCATCCAGACCTTGTTTCTAAGTATCACTCTCCTAATTCTCAAGGTAATTCTGAGGCAGGGCAAGTAAAAGAAGGAGCAAAAATAAGAAAATACTTTAAAACAAACAAAAATGACAAACACCAGGATAAAGGAGTCCCACTAAATCTCCCTGGAACCATATGAGTGTTAAACTTCCCTTCCTGGGACAGGACCTTATGACTCATGTGGATCATAAGTAAGGAGACAGGGAAGAGGGGAGGGTCTTCCCTAAGCAGAACATACATTGACACTGTGGAGGGGAGGGAGTGGGAAGCACCTCGGGGAAGGCAGGCTTGGACAAGAATCAGGATGACTGCTCTGAGGTGTGCGGGAGGGGAATGAGGAACAGAGGTCGGCAGCCTCTCGAGGGACTCCCCAAAGGTTGCCATGCAGAGCGAGCAGCGCAGACCACACAAGGAAGACCACCCAACCAAGGCCAGCACCACTGGACAGGCAAGGGCACCGTGTGCCTTCAGAGCTGGCTACCTGGAGGACAGACACTGCTTCTAGTCCTGAGGCAGGGTTGTGTGGCCTGCAGCAAATCTACAGGAAAACCCAGTCAGTTCCAGCACTACCACAATAAGGACCAACTAGGAATGTGCCCAGCAAGTGACAGCATAGTACCACACCAAGACTAAATCTTCTGAAATGTTAGCAACTATGCTGTGGTTATGGTATGAAATGAAGACGGAAGTCTTCAAAAATAAAGAAGAATAAAGTACGCCATCTACCTTGAAAGGGTTTAAAAAAAATACCTATATCTGTATCTATGTTCACACACACAAATAGATTTACAAAGCATATATGGCAAATGTAAATGACTACTCTGTCTAAAGGGTATAAAGGATCTCTTTATTCTTGCACCTTTGCAGCAAATTTGGAATTATTTCAAAATAAAGCTAGTAGGGGATAAAAACCCACCTATGTACAGGTTTCCTACAATAATGAACACCTTTCTCCAAAAGAAAGGACATATTTTAAGGAAAAGGCAAATTAAATTGCTGGAATACCTGCTGGCAGATGGTCCTCAGCACGTATCGAGCATATTCTCTTAAATTGGCCGTTTCTATGGAGATGCTCTTCGCGCAGGGCTTCGAGCTATGAGAGGCAGGCCAGACGTCCTCCGAGGCCCCTTCCCGCCGCAAACTCCTCATGGTGAAGTCATCGTTCTTTAAGGAGCTGACACTGTTATTGCCAATTTTGGCATCTCCTAAATAACAGAATCACAAAAGCGAAGTCATGAAAGTTCAAAATACCACCACATACTGGAGAAGCAAATGAGGCTAGCTTTGGGGGGATTTAAAATATGTGAGTAGCATTATCATTGCATAGCCAGTCAGCCAGCAATCCAGAGAATGAATCAAGAAAACGGATGAAGAACCCCGAGGACTACGAATCAGACACAAAGAAAAAGCAGGCCGAAACTTGCTCCTTCTTTTGTTTAAAGAATTAAGTATACTTTCACCAAACTTAGAAAGACCATCATGAACCACACTTAATAATCACAGAGCATTGATTTCACCAACATTTGATGCATCAAATTCATTTGACTTATTAGACAAGGAAAAAAAAAAAAAGAATGGGTTACTCACCCTTCTAGATGTCCCTTTTCCATTTCTTCTCTTACAATGACTTATTTTCTATCCATAGGTCAAGAGAAAAGTTTTGCCTTAGCCCACCTTACTACCAACTTCTGGACAAGAGATATATTTCCCTGGGGATGGAAAAGGGCAACGCATACTAAGGCAGCCCTGGAAAGCAGACGCTTTCCATCACCCATGTCTGCTGGCTTCCTCTCTGACAGCCAAGCGAGACCCCCCTTGCCTGATACTCCCTGACAGGCTCAGCCAACACCCCCAGGAAACTGCTTCCTCCTCACAAAGTTCTGGGAGAAAAAGGCCACACAAAACATATCCGGCAGCTGGAATCCCCAGCCACGAGACACGAAACCCTGGCCATTGTAAAAGCCGGGTGTGCTTTGGCTGGCAGGAGGGATGGCCCAGCAATAGCAGGGCCTAGCTTCTGCCCACCCACAGGGGCCTGCCTTGTTTCCTGGGACCCACGGATGAGTCTGGATTGGGCCTTTGCTGCCTGAAACTAGTGGGCAAACAGCCTGGGTTAGTGCCCAAGGCCTGTTAAAACCCACAGGCCCACCAAGAAAAGCTCTGACTCTGCTGAAAATATACCAAAAAAATCTGAAAAATCAAACTGGCTTAATTAATATTTACTTGCAAATTCTCAAGAGGAGGAGAGGAATAAATAACACACTGCAACTCACCAATACATTACCACATATTCCCCATTAACACACAAATACAAAAAGTACTGTTCACCCACGGGAGTTTACTTAATCCAACAGAGATTCTCAGAAGCAAAGATCTTGAAAGACCAAATTCTAAAGTAGCAAAGTGCATCCTCCACGCTCAGGTGCCAAGACACACTACAGCTAGCCTCAAACAGGAACCACAGCAGGTTCCACGGTCCCACCCCCATCTCAGCAGACCCACGGGGAGGGAGCTGGGACGACGCTGGTCAGAACACAGGGAGGCAGAGACACTAAAACCTCTACAGGAACAATCCAAAGACACACACCACTGCAGGCCCAGGTGAGGACCTGGCAGTGACATCAGTGACCGGAATGCGGGAGGTGGCTTGGGAGGAGGTGCTGGAATCTTTTGCAGCTGTGTGGTCAATAGAGTACATGAGGCTGTTAGGCCATGGCTCTGCTGACCTTCACTGGGTGTATCCTGACCTTTCAGGCCTGGAGGATTTGCCATATTATTTGAATATTCAGAGGTAGGCAGATTTTACTTGGGATCAGACCAGTGCTATAAATCAAAGAGCCTGTGTCCACATGGCAGTCATCTTGGTTTCTGCCATTAAAACTTCGGTCACTTACAGATTCAGGCTTCCAAAGTTAATTTAGTGAAAACCTAGTTCTTGCTGGTTTCTCAAATGAGCCTTAGAAATAACAGGGTAACAAATCTAGTCCCTAGGTTTGTATGTTCAGTAGGTCCCATGAGCCACCCTTCCCTTGAGACACCCTCAGAGCAGGGAAGTGGGCACTCTTGCCCCAGGACCTCCTCAGCTCGAGCAGAGGCTGCTGCCCATAGCTGGCTCTACCCTTCCCTTTGGCTACAGAATCCATGGGCATTCCCAATTACAGACAAAATACACATTCATATGTTCTTTTCAAGTGAACTTTTAATAGGTAATTTTGTGAAAACTCTGGTTTTGTTGTTTTGTTTCTGTGGTACAAACAATTGAACCCAGGGCCTCATGGAAAAATGTTATTGTTCCTTGAATCCTCAGGCATCATTTGTCAAGCATTACAGAATTCTGTCCTCACTTGTGTCCTTTAAGACCCACCTAAAGCAGCTCCTATCATTCAGTTATTCTGTTTTGATCAAAGGGAGCTCACTAAGAACATAAGAGGTAACTATTATGTAGTCAAGTCTAGAAGAGGGTATTCAAAATTGGAATCAAGCACTATGAACTCAAGTCTTCCAACCATTCACATTCCTTATGACATACAGAAGAAAATGTCATCGACACTTGATGGGCAGAAGACAGTGCTGTCACTCCAGGAGCACATACACAAAAAAGATATAAAGGGCGTCTTGGACACTATGAATCAGATGGAAAAAAAAATCACTGTGACCGCGAATACCGATTAATCAATAATACAAACATCATTGTGATTATCACCTGATTCATGAATAAAACAGACAGAAAAAAATGTTCAGGGTCTCCAACTCAGCAGAAGCACTCGGACTAAGCTCCAGGTTTCCTGGTATTCTGCACCTGGAACACAGCCTGGCTGAAGAGCTAAGCCTTCGGGGATGTCACCACATCATCCCTGTCCTTCCTTGGGTTGTATTTCTGCCAACAATTGAAGGCAAAGCAACCCTGTCTCAGAATCTACGTCACATCAGAAGGAGCATCAAGCAACTAAAACAGAACAATAGTATGTGTATTTAAATACCCCCAGGGTCACTAGAGGAGGGACAGAAATTCTAAGAGCCCTATTGCCCATGGACTCAGGGAAAGCCAGCTCTCTTTTTCCAGGAGAACAAACAAAACAAACCAGGTTTTCAACAACATTAATTAGATTTTGAGCTGATTTGGTTTTGCCTCCACATCTGGTGATCAGCCAAGAAGTGCAGAGCCAGGAAGGTCTTACCGAGCATCATGATGGCTTTCAATACGGCAAAAACCGCTCCCACTTCAATGCTGTTGTGAGCAGCAGCTAAGAGGTGTCTATCGCAAGATGATCTTATTCCGGGGAAAGGTTTGCCTGTGAAAACAACAACAAGCCTTGAACAGTCTCGTCACCGTCATTAATGATCTTCCGTAATCACCCCCAGCCGGCAGGGCCTCTCACTGTTGGGCTGTGGGCGCTTAATTGCCACTGGCCTGCTTAACCTGAGGCTGGGGTTCACTAAGACACACTGCCAGTATTCTTACTTAACCTTTTCTTAATTATTAATTGTTAAAACAATGTTTTTGCTCCTCAGAGAGATGTAGCAAAAAGATTAGCAGGATTCCCACACAGACATGCCCACATGTGGATGGAAGGGATCTAAGAAGAGGCTTTACTAATACCCTAGGAATCATTGCTTACCTTAGGAAAAGGATAAGTGAGTCACCATCCCCTTAAGTCGGGATGGTGGGGCTCAGAACTGACATATATAGTATGTTTTCCGGCCGCACTGCCCGCCAGGATGACCTGGCCTAAGAGCAGAGGTATTTTTATTGACTGTTAACTCCCGGTTTTGATTTCTCAATATTTCCTGATATTACATAAATGGAAGGTGTTGCCAGCCCTCCTAGTGGCACCCTCTCACTCCTTCACTGCCCCCAGATCAAGCCCACAAAAATCGGGAAGGAAATCACAAAACGTAGAGCCCACACGGTCACTTAGAACCTAGAGCTCCAGCCTCTGTCCACTGACATGCTGCAGCCAGCTCACCGGCGGCTTGAGGCAAGAAGCAGGCCTGTGGCGCGCGGAACAGATGAAGCAGCAGTCGGCAGGTCATCCTCGCCCCGGGCTCCGCGTCTGCATCTCCACAAGCTAGAAAGCAGGACAGAAAGACAGGCCTCAGGCTTCCTACTAAGTTAAGTCTTCTGCTCTAACCTACATCAACTCTCCTTAGAGCAAGAAAAGTAAGCCCTCTCTTCTGAGATGGGAGTGCTCCTAAGGCAGGTTGGGGAGAGCAACAGCCTCCCATTCCCTGCCTCCAGGGCTAATGTGCTGGGGTCTGGGCTGCCCTGCCACCTCTAGCCACCCCCAGCACACATACAGCTAGAATCTCCTACTGCACCCACCCTGTGCTCTAACAGCCCGACCCACCCCTCCAAGGCAGCGAGCCCACAGCCAGCACAGCTCCCCAGGCTGCCTTACCTGCCGCTAGGAGAGAGGGGAGAGCCACGTGCTGCACGACGTCCTCCAGGGAGAAACACTGTCGTGCTATCAGAATAGCAATGAAAGTAGCTAATGAATCATGGAATGAAAGGTCACTCACCTTCAAGAAAAACATTGACAGGTTTTAATACCTGACACCCTTCTCAGCCACATCAAAGATCAATACCTAAGAGAATGTAGGCAACACCCCCAGGAGCTCAGTCCCACCATGAACCCACAGGGAACAGCCATGTGAGACTGTTACCCCCCAGGCCTGTTTCTATAAGACAAACCTTGAGTCTACCCACCCCCCAGAGCTACAAGAGGACACTGGGCTATAGCTCATGAACCCACAACTGAAAAAAGACAAAAAATACAATCAAGAAATCACTAAGGGATGTGTGAATGCACCCCAATGTGAGTCGGAGTAAGTCCAGAGGATGTCAGAGAAAACAGAAAATAGGAGGGCCCCTTAGCAGAAAGACATGCCTGACGGTGTTCTGGAGACTCTTTATGTGGCAACTAACAAAGATGCTCAAAGGGACTAAATGGGTTGTGAAAACTCTGAAAGTTTCCAACTAACTCCAAATTGCAAAAGAGGAAGAAAATCAATTCATAGTGAAATCTCTGACTTTACAGACTCCACGAAACACGTGCACAAGATAATGAGAAAAATGACTAATAGCGGCCTTCACAACTGGCACCATAATTCAGGGACCACGGCCAGCAATTTACAAAACACCTCCTCTGATAGCCTACCACCAAGAGGTTCATACTATTATAAAATCCATTTTTACAGATGAGGGATTAAAGCAGAAGGCAAAGTACAACAACAACAACAACAAAAAGACCGAGAGACTAAGTAAGGAACTACAGTCAAGATAAAAATGTGTCTTTCTGCTAGAAGAGCAGACCACCACTCGTGAGTTAATATGTATAAAAGTCTAAGCACACTGAGCTGCAGAGACAGGACTGCCCACCCTGGCAGAGTCTGCAAACTAGGAATAAGCCCTCAGCCAGAGGCAGCTTTTAAAACATAGAGTTCTTTAACATAAGAGACCCTAGCCCTAATTCTGCTCCAACAGGATACAGCAGGCAGGCACGATAAAGAACGGAGGCAGATGTTTAACGAATTCACATGTATGTAACCTGCTAGTTGAGATAATCAGTGATATATCGGGAGCAGGGGAAGCTATTCATCAGTGTCCAGACTTGATCCCCAAGAAAGACTGAGCATCCTCTGAACCTATACCTGGGCGTTTCCGCGCAATATAACAAAATCTATACTCTTAGAAACCTACATATTGGTTCTTCATAATGAAAAATGCTTCAGTTACGTCCCCTGCCATGTGATAAAAATGAAGAATAGGGGCTAGGGTTGTGGTTCAGCGGTAGAGTGCTCGCCTAGTACATGCAAGGCCCTGGGTTCAATCCTCAGCACCACATAAAAACAAATAAATAAAGATATTGTGTCCAACTACAGCTAAAAAATAAATTTAAAAAAATGAAGAACAAACAGCTCTGAAGTGATCATCCATATCAGCTACATGGAAATTTCAGGAAACTTCTGGCATTTCTGCTATAGATTAAGCTATCTATTTTATTTCTGATTTTTTGCGTATTAAATAATCTTGGCAACTACACTGTGGCTTATTACTTTCAGAGAAAGAAAAAAATATTTTACAATGTTAAAACGGAGTCAAGTACATAATAATTTTTAAAAAACAGATTACCCACTAACTAAATTTTGAATTACACAATTTTAAACAAAAAAGAAAACTTACATCCACAGTGCAAAGTACATCATTAAACCCCCACACGTGATTGGAAGAACAACAGAGAGCCTTCAGAACCCCCAGCCATTCTGAACTGAGGACAGTGCAGCAGGCGGTCAGCTCGGAGGAGAAATTGGCTATGTCGTTAATCCTAAGGAGGAAAGAGTTGGGCAGTGAGCAGTCGGCAGGATGGTGACCGCGCGTGGCATAGCCATGAGCACATTTCACTACCAGCAACAAGCCTTCTGCTTCTTAGACAGAAGGATGTAACCAATACCTACCTGTCAGATACACTGGAACCCGAGCAAAGGTATGTTAACAACTTCAAACGTTGTTGAATAATCAACACTATTAAGTGACAAACAATTACCAGTACACATGTGAATTAGAACATTTTTAGCTCTGTGAACAGACCTGATCTATAAATTGACATTTTCGTTATGCGTTGCAATTATGCACAATAGTGGGATTAATCATGCTATCTTTGCCACATGCACATAACATGATCCTGTCAAGTCCTCTGGCCAGTATCTCTGCTTTCCCTCTCTCCTCTTCCCCAACCCTATCCACTGTGCTACTGGTCTCCCTTCTGTTTTCATTAAATCACATTTTTCCTTTTTAAAAGTTCAAATATAGTTGTTTTCAAAATATAGGTATTTTATTATATACATTTTTTTTGAAAATGTATACTATAACTTAATAGACAGTACCTAAAACATCCAATGCCCAAGCAAGAAGACATAAGCAGGCATTTCTCAGGTTAAGAAAATTTTTTAACAGAACAGAGGTAAATAAATAATGAATAAAATAAGATAGAGTCAGGGTAGCAAATGAAAGGCAGGTGTGAGCCCAGACATTTACTAGACACTTGTTTCAAAGAAGTCCCAAGTCACCCAAGTCATTGTCAGTGATGCCTTCCCGGTAGCCCGGCTCACCTGCCAGCATCCTGGTGGCCCATGCAGACATTCATAAGCGTGTTGCAGACAAAGCTGTAGCGATTGGCTGCGTTGTCACTGAGGACTTTGCCCAGCATTGAGTAGTTGATGCTTCGAGCTGAGGGATTCTCAATAAAATCCATCATGAAGTCGGGATCCCATCGCAAGTTGGAATTTGCAGGCATCACATTATTATATATGGTTTGCTTTACTTTAGAACAGGCACTACTGAGGTTACAAGAAGAGAAGTTAAAAAGGAAAAACAAAAACTAGAATAATAGGAAAACCATTTCACTTAAGAAAGCTGATAACTAATCTTAAATGACTTTCTACAGTTTACAAGCTCTACAAATCACAGAACTTACTAAGGCTTCCAACAACTAACTCAAGTAATAACATTTGCAACTATTCTTAAGAATAAAAATAGATTCAATTACACATCAGAATAATGTGGTGTTGTAGTCCTGATGGCACATGCCAAAGACCTCCTCCTCTAGGGACACTGTGGCCTTCGGAATTTGCATGCTAAGACAGACATGTGACTATGGGACTGTGGCACAGCAGAGAAAGGAAAGGCATGTTCCTGACTTCAGGGAGCTTGCGATGTGCCAGGGGGCTCTGGATAACAGGGAAATTGTACAAGAGCAAAGAACTGGTCACGTCATCCCTAAGTGTTTCTCAACAGCGGCAAAGGTTTTTTAAGACCCTGGTTTATCGTGCGAAATATTTGAGGTTTTCATGAGCTACATCTGAGCAAAGATAGAACAGAAGCATCAAGGGATGTGGATGGATTTACTCCATAGCCAGCACTGAGATGCTCCAGTTTCAAAGCTCACATTGCATATGAACTCAGCCATTCCTGACCATCTGCTGCAGATAGCAAGTCCATGAGCAAATTCAAGTGCTCTACTCAAGAGCTCTTCAGCGCAACAGAAAGGCTGCTCTTAAGATTAAGTTTGGGCAGCAAACTGATTCGTGGTTAAGGTGATATACAGCTTTTTTATGCACCTACATTAGCCAGGAATGAGTACCTCAAATATACAAAGGCATGTGGATGCTTTATCCTGAAGCACTGTCAGTGCCAACAGCTGTCAGAAATCGAGAACATTCAGCTCAGCCCTCGTCCTTCAGAGCCACTTCTGGGCTGTTTGGTTAAAATACTGATTCCTAGGTCTCACATAGGTACTCTGAGCTGTGTGTTTAACAAGGGCTCCCAAATGACTCCAGTGCCAAATGATGCCAGGGAGACCCAGGTGTCACCAAGAGGATCAAATGACAAACCGAATAATTACTATCCTCTATATTTTTTCTCTTTCTTTGCAAAGGACTTCTGTAAAAAACTTGTTGGCCATCATGGAGGGATATAAATTGGCAAAAGAGAATTGTGGCATTTTGAAAATGACAGTCATTTTGTGGTCCCGGTGCTTCTACCCACCTGTTCTTCCTGACTACTCTTTATTCACTCTCACTTACTACATTCATGTTCCCACTAAAAATGAAACCCAGACCAGACCCTCCCTTGTTTCCCCTCGACCATATCCCTCATTTCCTCTGCCTTCCAAAGCCTTGAGTGTTTAGTACAAGGGACTTCTGCAAATTTTAAAGCTTTACCTCTTTTTCATTCAACTCTTCATTTAATTCTACCAGTTTCTCCAGTCTGTCTTTAGAATCCCAGCTCTTCTGCTCTGCTTCTGGTTTATGAGCCCCACCCCTCCCCTTCCAGGAGGCAGGTTTCTCTAAGTGGACTGCAGGGTCCCTCTGAACCTGGCTAGTGGTGAGGTCTTCTCAGCCTGCATGTTGAGGCTTCCTGTGTTCTTTAGTACAGACTTTCTAGATGGGTTTCTGTGTTTGAATCAAATGCTGGCGACCAGCTAGGCCACGCCAATCCTCACATTCTGCTGCCTGCACAGAGGAAACCAAGCCAATGGCTGAGACCTTTCCTTCTGCAGCTACAAGGAGCAGAAAGACCTGGAGGGCTGGGGAAGCAGCGTACAGCCTCGGAGCCTGTTCAGATCCAGGCTTGCTCACTGTTAACTAAGGCCAGGACACTCCTTTGTTCCTGGGGAAAGCCATTTCTACTTCCTGGTTCTTGTGAGTGCTCAAGCAGTGTGCCCAGCACAGTGCCCGATAGATGGCCCTGGCATTCAATTTATTCCCTGTTCCACAATATTCCTCTCACAGGTGGCTTGGATGATATCACAGACAAAATGATCCAATTGTTTAATCAGTATGTTAATGGAAATCTCTGCCTGATGGTCCTTTTTTACCAAATTCCAAACTACAAATCGATCTCTGATCCCGAGAGGCCAGGCACAGTGGTGTGTGCCAGCAGCCCAGCCAGGCAGAGCCCCATGTGAGGGTCACTTGGGCCCACAGTTTAGAGCCAGCCTGGGCAACACAGTGAGAATCTGTCTCAAAACAAAGAAAGGGGGAGCAAAAGACAGCCCAAGAAAGCTACACCTCTCCCCGCTGCTTTATGGAATCGTTAGAAAGTGCACCTGCCCCTTACCAAGGAATGGTCCTTGGAACACCACACTGCGCTGCGGGTCCCCTAAGTCCCTGTTCCTGGCATAGCGCTTGAATGAACTCACCTTGCCTACCTGCACTGCAGTGGGGGAGCACTGGTGGTTAAATAAGCTTTGGGGGCGGTCAGGGGAAGTTCACCATCAGACAAGAGCTAGCAGGAACCACAGCATGAATGAGAAAGCTCACAAAACTCTAAACTGAAACTGAAAACTCCACACAGAGTAACAGAAGAATATTGTTCTAAGATTACATCATTTCTGTGGAAAGGGGTTTCCTAAGACTCACTCAGATGATTTACAAAGGCTTGCTCCATCTAATGCATTACGAGGTATAACATTTTTGTAAGTACTGTTAAATATGACTTTTTGATGTCTGTTGCCTTGGCTGTGCCCCCTAGGAGCTGCACAGCTATAGTGGTGAGCAAAGCAGGCGGCCTCTGCTCTCCTGGAAGCAGGCCACGATCAATACACGATGCCCTTGAATATTCAGTTTAATCAAATCTTGAGTCCATCTAAGATGCTGAGAATGAGCAGAGGGTGGTCAGGGAGGCGGAGGTGAGGAAGTGTGGGGTGAGTGTATGAGTGAGTGCCACGAGCCAGTTAAGAGCAGGTGTGAAAGCCCAAGGTGGATGCAAGCTTACACATCAGAGGAAGGAGCAGGGGGAGGGCCGGGCAGTCAGAGCAGAGCACACAGAGGAGAAGGGGAGCAGAAGAGAGCAGGGCACTGCACACAGCGAAGGCCAGGAGGCGAGGCAGCACTGGGAACCCAAGAGACACCATGCTTTAAGCGGGTGACTCTAGTGGACATGGTCAAGGTGTGAAGCAGGAAGGCCAGCTGGGGCGACTCTGCATGGGGCCCTGCAAGGGACGATCAGAGCGGCAGTGACGAGGGCACCAAGGAGTAGTGGACTCTAGGTACCGGGGAGGCAGGGCTCGTAGGATTCACCCAAATGAAACAGGGCACAGAAGGGACAGACAACTGCAGACCACCTCTTCCTTGCTCTTTCTGAGGATTCCAAATTTCTTTTGGCCAGATATTACTTTCTCCTAGAATGAATTATCTAAAGTTACTTCCTAGCACCTGACTACCTGAGCCCCCTGAGCAAGGCTGAGACCCAGGGAATGAGAGGGAGGTGGACATGCCACCTGAAATAGGTGGTCAAGGAAGTAGAGACACAGAGGAAGTGCAGAAGCAAGCAAGAAAACAGCCCCACAAAAGCACTCCCAGGGAGGCCAGGCAAGAGAAATTCAAATGCTTTCCCCCAGGTTTATCTCAAAGTTGCAGAGCTAAACAGACGTAGTACTACTTGGAAATGGGAGATGATACCTACAGCAGAAGGTAATTTAATAGGAATTCTGGATAAGGGTTGAGAAAATAAAAAAATCTTTTCTACATATAAAATATCCTGGACTCATTAACATAAAGCATTCCTTAAGCAGTGAGATTTATTGATAGAAAAAACATTCATGAACCAACAATTGCAGAATTTATGAAGACTAAGATAGCAAGTAGGTTAACTGCAGATTTTACAATATCTTCTTAATGATTAACTAGGGTATATTTCTTGTATATCAAGAAATGAGTTAAGTTGAGCCTAAATACAAACACAATGCAAAATACAAATTAGGTCGTCTTGCATTTTTTGATGCATGTTGATTTAATGCTACTCATGAAAATACTAGTAATTTTTTTATATAAAAACCTAATTCACATGAAATTTACTGTTTAGTAAGTCATAGGACGTACTAAACAGTAAATTTTTTAAGAGAGGAAAAAAAATGAAAAACTGTTTGGAAAAATTGTGGAGAAGTAAATGGAGTTACAGAACCTTCCATGCCTAACCAAGAAATGAAAGCAATTTGTAACTTCAAGATGTGCAGAGGGTATTAAATCCACCCAAAGTAACATAAAAAGCCAGGTCAAAAAATGGGGATATCAATGCCAGGAGGAATATGAACCCAGAAAAACACCAAATACTGCTTCATTAACCGCCTACTAGATTCATGATTCAAATTGAATTTCAAATTTAAAATATAAAGATTTATTAAATATTTATCATCATTCCAATATGACTTACCTAAATAAACTATATCTGTAAAAGTTATAGAGAATATAAAAATAAAATTGGGGGGGTACTGGAGATTGAACCCAGGGGTACTTGACCGCTAAGCCATATCCCCAGCCCTACTTTGTATTTTATTTAGAGACAGGGTCTCACTAAGTAGCTCAGCTCCTTGCTTTTGCTAAGGCCGGCTTTGAACTTGTGATCCTCCTGCCTAAGCCTCCCAAACCACTGGGATTACAGGCTTGTGCCACCATTCCCGGCAAGAACAACAATAAAAAAAACTTTTAAAGAAAAAAATCCTCTGATTGTTGAAGACACAAAATTAGCCAAGGTTAGATGGTTATGGACTAAAGTCGTTTCGATCTGGGGGTGGGAGGGAGGAAACCAACTCATAGTTTAACGGTCTACCTTTCATTGCCACTATGTATTTTTAATAGTCAGTTTCATCAAATCTTGAGTTTATCAAAATTAGCACCGGACAAAAATAACCATGATCACCTTTCATTATGAAAAAGGTTACTAACACTGGTAGAGTCACGGACAAACACAGCTGTGATCCCATTGCTACTCTTGGACTTTCTTCTACCCACCTGAAGAGGTCTCCAAACTTGCTTCTGAGGTGGCTACAGGACACATAGAGGTCGTAGAGGTAGGCTAAGATGCATCTTTCGGGGGAAGAGCACTCTGAGGGGTTCACGACGTGCTTCACCACACCGCACAACCTGAGGACAAGACACAGGCAGATGAGGCCCACACAGTAGTGCACCCTCACCCAAGGCTTCAAGAACGAGGTGCCCACATACGACTCGATGACCAGCACAGCAAACTGAATCTCTGAACGCCAATATTCTGAGGAGGTACAGAAATGCTATACAACTTCAAGAAACAAAGACAACGAGAGATGGTGCGCAAGCTGTACTTGAAGAAGCACTGAGCCCTTTGACAGGGACATGGTGGAAAGGTGGAGGGGAGGACCTGCTGATTGAATTGAGTCACAAATGGGCCTGAGCCTTTGTAAGGCAGCAGCTCCAGGAAATAACCCTGGGAGACCTCCATTTCTGGGCTGGATCTGGCATCACTGGGGAATGCAGGTTGGGAGGCAAGCTGGAAAAAAATTGATCTCGGTTTACCTCTTTTCATAGTGACATCCTCTATGACCACTAGGGTCATAAGCACCCCGCCACGCATACAATTCTGTGTGACCCACCAGGCAGAGCAAAGGCCTCTGTCTATGCTTCTCCCACGCCCAGGTGCACTCGCCCGGGCACTCACTGGGCCCGATAGTGGGAGTCTGGCTCCTCCACCAGGCCTTCTGCTGTGGGTCTCCCCAGGACACCACACCACAGGAGTCAAGGTGATGGGACCAGTGCTCTCACCCACCACCATCACCATAAAAAGGGGCTCCCAGGCACAGAAAAGTGAAGGGCCTGCAGCAGGGCAGGCAGCCAGCGCACAGCAGAAGGGGAGGAGAGCCTGGGCCCCCCAGACTAGACCTCTCCATGCTGAGGGGACAGGGGAAGCAGAAGCATCTGCAGGGCCCAAGCCACAATGGACAGCAGGAGTACAAGTGCCAAGGGAGACCCCGGGACTACCTGAAGAAATGCCCAGAGCATCCCAAACCCTGGCAAGGAACAGTGAGAGATGGGCCAGCCAGCAGAGAATGAAGCTGACCATTAGAGGAAAACCTCACACAATCATTTTTAAAAGTAGTGACTGGAATTGTGGTTGACTACGTAAACAAAAGAGATCCTGATACATCCTAAAGCCAAGAATTCTACTGTGTCTAAAGGAAACAAACAGGTGAGAAATGGTCAGCTAGCCAGGGTGTAGTAGCGTTTTCTCAACTTCTCTGACTTGCTGGAGGTGAAGAAGGCTTCACACTGTGATTCTGGATGACCACTCGCATAAGTACAAAAAAACTAATGTCATCATTTGAGGAAAAATATTCACCCTTACTACATATAATCAAGTAAAAAGAAAAGGAAACGTCAAACATAATTTTATGAATATTCAATAGTATGTAAATTTAAAATGTAAAAATCAATGATACTAAAATTCTTTTCAAGTTAAAACATAAAACACAATCAAGCAAAAACACTTGTCATGTGGGCTGGGATGTAGCTTAGCAGGATAACGCTTGGCCAGCACGCACCAGGCCCCTGGCTCAGTTCCCAGCACTGCAAACAAACCAAACCTGTACTTGTCACAACTCAACAAAATGATTTCATGAACAACTAGAGGATTTCCATGCACAATCTTAAAAGTATGATATAGCTTGAATAATAGGAATAAACTCCCAACCAGGAAGACCTGTTAAAAGCCGTGAGAGTCATTGTCTATGTTATATTGGACAACATACACTGCTATACTACCTACCAAACCCTTTATTTAAAATGCCCGAGTCCCAGTTTCTTGACCTATAAAATGATACTAAAATTCAAACCTTACAGCATAGGAAGTAGAGGGTTGCTAAATCATTACGTACTTCCTTAATTCTAAGATAGATATGCTCTTGCATAGTAAAGTTTCTGAGATATTTCAGACTTCACTTCCTAATCTAAGTGTACAGTTAACATATACAAAAGGTACCATTTGATGTGCCCCAGAAAGCTGCTGCTCCACCCAGGCCACCTGAGGAACAACATAGTCGATCACATGTGCTAGATCACAGCAAACAGTCACTGCTGCACCAAAGAACTCTGTGGTTCTTTTGAGCTCAGGAGAAAAAAAAAAAAAGAAAGAAAGAAAGAAAAATGGGAGGCTGTGTTTGTGTAAAAAGCCCAGTGGGGGAAAGGGGAGTGGACAGAGCGGGGCTGGCTCTACCTTACCTTGGGCCCCCGAGCCTCTGTCTCTGATGGGCAGAGCAGGTTTATCTCCTCAGATCAACTCCACTGGCAGCAGCAGAGCAAACTCTATAACAGCCACAAACCAAAAGCACACAACACACCAAGAATAAACAAAGACACTGGTTCTAAGTTAGCTCTTGTCAAAAGATGCTGTGAATCACAAAGATGAAACTGAAGCATCACTTCACTGACAATGAATGCAAAGCTGTATTTGGTGTTGGATTCTCCAAAAAACCAAAATTACAGGAAAAGAGAAGTTACAAGCATTCGCTCTTAATAAGCCAGGATGCTGGGCAGCATGAAGGATGGAGGCCATCAATGACCAGCCTCCCGTTCTTAGAAACCAGGGCGTGATCAGGAAGGCAGCAAGGAGGAGGGAGAGGAGGAAGGCCTCGGGCTTAACCAGAAAAGTGATTCTGTCTCCTCCTCTGATAGAGCCTTTGTGGCAGGAGTATTCTTTTAACTGTTTTAATTGAAATAAAAACAGGCACTATTGTTCTCTTAATAGTACCAGACACTTTCGGATTTGAAAAACGGTGGCATTTTATATACCAACCCTTCAAACACCTGGGCTGTCTGCTCAGGATTCAGGATCAGACAACTATGATAGCGCCTGAGAACGGCCACGATGCACACGCAGAGCCCCGTGGTGTAGCTGCCTGCCAGGCTGGAGGACTTGAGGAGCAGCTCGGCTTCCACGACACTCAGCTCATTCAGCAACTGTAAGAACAGAGAAGGAATGAAAAAATGCAGGTGCCACAACACAAAGGAGAACCAGTCTCAGCAACCATGAGCACTCCGTGCTGTGCGCCACTGCAGTGGAGAACGTGGACTCATGAATCAGACATCTTTTTATTTTTAAGCCTGTTTATACAAGAACTTTGTGTTCTTCTGTCTGGACACGAGGGTGTGTAAGATGAGGAAGCACCCAGTGCCGGGCAGCCCCAAGTTCTGGAATAGATCAGTGAAGCTGATATATACTACAGAATAAGGAAATCAAGGTTAAAATCCATTCACTAATAATACTAGGAAATAAAGAAACAAGCTAAATCAAATTTTAAGGACTTTTTTTTTTCTTTCAGTGTTAAAATTTACTCTATTATAGACAGAAAATACTCTTTCATCACTGTCTAAGCAAAACAACAAAAGACAATACCAGAAACCCTCTCAGAATTCTGGCATTGTTAAATGACATGCACTGAATACCAGGTATAATTATTTAACTGAAAACAATTAACAGAGCTGTAATTAAAATACTAGGCTGATGACCATTAACTCAGAATGTCTCGATTATTCAAAAATGTATTGGGTCCTCACAACTGTGTTAATGAACAGCAATTGGTTCCATTCAAATGGGCTGAGGTGCCCAACAGAGGCCAGGAGGAGTGGGATGGGGGAGGGATGGGGAAAGCTGATCAATGGGCACTGAGCTACAGTCGGAAGCAAGACTTTCTGGTGCTACAGGTAACCAGGACATACTGCACATTTCAAAGAGCTGGAAGAAGGGATTTTGAAAATTTTCACTGTAAAGAAATGATAAATATTCCATGAGGCAAGTTATGTTTAACCTGGTACGAACATTGTACAATGTGTACGTTCATAGAAATATTACACAGAACCCCCATTTATTTGTATATTTTACATAAAACTATATATGAACAGTTTTTATGGTTTTGAGTGTCAATTTTAAATAAATTTAGGCTAGGCATGGTGGCATAGACCTGTCATCTTAGCCCTCAGGAGGCTGAGGCAGAAGGATCAATGAAGACCAGCTGGAGTTTAAGCCTAGCCTGGACATCACCATGAGACCCTGTCTCAATTTTTTTTAATTTAAAAATAATACATTTTAAAACATAAATTCCGCAATGCCTGATAGGTTGGCTCTCCCAAAGTTAAGGAAACGCGGTCTCTCTGACACCTGTATAGCGAAGTCAATGAGTCCATTGATGTTCAGTGCGGGCTCCATGAGATCGAAGATGAGCTGTATGTGGTGGGCCAGCGGGAGGTGGTAGGACGTCCCTGAAGCAAAGCTGGTGATCTGCTCCAGCACGTTGTTAGAGATCTGAGCAGACAGAGTGAGGCCGTCACACACCGATTCCCAAACCATCTTTTACATAAATTATTTTACTTCGCTAAGACATGGAATTTATGACATTCTACTAGATGAAAATTAAAACATATTTTCACAGAAACCAAAACCATGTACAGATCAAACAGCTTTTTTATTTTTTATTTAGTTATAGATGGATACAATATCTTTCTTTTTTTTTTATGTGGGGCTGAGGATCAAACCCAGAGCCTCACATGTGCGAGGTAGGCGCTCTACCACTGAGCCACAGAACAGGCCCCTCAAATAGCTTTTCGATGTGTCTAAATAACCAAGGATTTGTAAAATAAAATAGATTTGGTTTCTTCTCAATGTCATGGCATTTCATTTCAATCATTGACATGTGTGCTACAGGGCCAGGGAGTCATAACATCAGCCTTGCATTAGGGATTATTTTATATATTACTGATTATTAACATAAGGTAAAAGTGGTTACATAATAAAAACAAGCTCTTGGGCTGGGGCTGATGCTCAGTGGTGGAGCAATTGCCTATCATGGGTGAGGAACTGACCTCAGCGCCACATAAAAATAAATAAATAAAGGTATTGTGTCCATCTACAAACTGTATAGTTTTATATATGTATAAAGTTCATGAAGGCTGGGGCTGGAGCTCAGAGGTAGAGCACTCCCCTAGCTTGTGCGAGGCGCTGGGTTCAATCCTCAGCACCACAAAAAATAAATAAGTAAAAATAAAGTACAACTACAAAAAAAATATATATATATTTTTTTAAAAAAAGCACCCTTTGCCAGGCGCAGTGACATATTCATGTGAAAAAATTCATGAAGGCTGAAAACACATATTGCACAAAAGGGACTTTTCAGGAAACGGTGACACATGCAATACATAAGAAGATAGTTTTAAATGGCTACCTGAGACGTCACTTGATGCTGATCGAAATATGACAGAAGTTGGAGTTTTGTGAACACCGTCTCCAGGGTTGGAAATGTTTCTTGTTTGTTCTTTCTGGCTTTTTGCCCTTCATCCCCAACTAAATGAACATAAAACACATAGGTTATTTTCCATTTACTCAAACTCCTGACTTTTTAAATAGATACTTTTCATTATCTAACATCATCATTGATCCCAGGCTGAAGAGCTCACATCAGTAGTTGGGTATACAAATTGCTTTAAAAATGAAGTTAATGTATTAATTCAGTCCTTCCCTGGGACAAAACCAATACATAAAACCAACAGACTTGAGTTCATAGATCCAGCTAAGAAATCCAAAACACACCTCTGTTTCTGCAGATAGGCTCCATATACCTAAATATAACAAACTGCTTAAAACCTCATGTAAAAGGATGCAAAGTACTCTTGGAAATTTACATCCACTTTTAAAAAAAATAAAAAAAAGGTAACAAATTAGTAGTGGTTCTTAATATTTATTTGAATGATATTTGTGTGACTAAAATATAGTCATAATTATATATTTCCCCTATCTATTTTAGGTTAACTTGCTTTCATAACATATATTATTGATCTTTTGTTGCTTAATTTTCATTTGAAAATGTTTAAGCCCTGATATTATTGGCCTTTTAAACAAATAGTTCTAATAAAATTCATTAATGTTTTTCATGCAAATGCAGAAGGAAGTCTGAGCAAGTTCAAATGAAAATGCTACTAGATTGGAAATTCCTCTGGGTAAGACCTGGCTGATCTAACAACACTATTAATGGCTTGGAACCATAAAACCTTCCTTTTTTTTTGTTTTCTTTGCAAGGAGGGGGTGGGGAGGGGTGGGGAGGAGTGGGGAGGTTGAGGGCAGAAACCTCTGAGAACCACTGAGCTACATCTCCAGCCTTTTTTTTTTTTGAGATAGGGTCTCATCAAGTTGCCAAGGTGGGCCTCCAACTTGCAATGATGCTGCCTCAGCTTCTAGGAGTTGGGAGTTGCTGGGATTACAGGCAGGCACCACCACACCCAGTATCAAAATCTTATTTTATGTTCCCTGAACTGAAATAAATGCTAACACAAGCTCTTTTCTCCCTACCAGTCTTCATTTTTCCAGGAAAAAAAAGAGGAAGGGTAAATTTCCATTACTCTGAGTATAACTGGCCAGCCTCTGGTGCTCATACTAAATGACAAGCAATGACTTCACATGCAGGCTGTTAACCAGAGGAGACTTACTGCATCCCTGACTGACATCTTTCTGGTTGAGGAGTTTTATCTAAAATGAAGGAAAGACAGGAGGATGGAGGAGGCTGCTTGCAGTGGGTTTCCATTACTGACATCTCAGAAGGCACAGAGAACAATGGTTTTCCAAGTTCAGGGGCTAGAAGTGCCTTCACTTCAGGGACTGCTACAAAGATAGCACAGACAATAGTCTGGCTCTAAAAACCATGAAGGAAGGAAGCTGAGTCCACATGAATGGCCAACCCACTTCCTTCCCTTCCACCTCCTTCAGCCTTCCAAACCCAGACTCTACGCAGACCTGGGTACCCTCTGCAAGTCATTGAGACTGAGCCGCAGGACTTTCACCTAAAGGAGACTGTGACCCCATCCCCTTTCCAAGCACACCAGCAGAAGTCTCAAATATTGTTTGCTAGCTAGTTTCAAGGCTTCTCAATTCAATCTTCTCTTGAAACTCATTTCCTCTTTTCTCTAAGAGAGAAAACAACCCAATAATATAAATAGTTTTCTTAGAGCACTTTCCTCTGCAAGCTCTAGAACACCAAGAGTCTCATTTGCACAGCTCGTGGCTACTCCCACCAAGTGCGGGTGCACTGTGAGGCCCTTACCCAGCTGTGAAAGGGGTGAGGGAAGGTGAGCCAAGCAGACCAAGGAGACACGAAGCCCTTTTCATGCCTGTACACACCCCTTACTGGAAGAAAGAGAGGCTGTTTGGATTACTTGTGCTGTTTTGGATTACTTATTCTCTCTAGGAAAGATCTAGAAAAATAAGCTCTAGTAATTTTGCCTGTTAAAAAATTAAGACTGAATGCCCCGTGGAGAGGTCCACAGCAGAGTGGCCAGGGGCTGAGAGGTGGCTTACGCCACAGGCAGGAAGAAGGCTGTTTGAAATTGTAGACATTCTTTCTTCATATTCCTGAAGGATTTGGAAAAAAAAAATGAGTGGAAGGGATGTATATGTGTGTGTGTGTGTATGTGTGTGTATAATGATATCATATTTTAAATCATATGACTGCATAATGAAATAAACCTTGAAAAAGCAATTAAGCAGATCTGAAAAGGATAACTACAAAGGTCCAATTGTGCAAGGTGATGACACCACATAAAGATATGGCTTCACTATAAAAACTACAAAAAAAACACAGAGAAAGAATTGCAAGTGACAAGGCCATTACCTGCAAAGGCCTAATTTTCCCTTCTAGCTGAGATTATCTGGTGACATTGTGGCTTCCATACCCACTGAGTTCCTCTTCTGAGTCACTAAGAACGGACCAGCAATTACACTGTGATGGTTGTGACTGTCGTGTGCGCGTCAGTGCCCACAGCAAAGCAAACTGCGAGCCGGGGTAATGGCAGAAAAGATATGGGGAGGGGGAGCTCCTCTAGACTGGGGTCTTCCCACTCCGCCTCAGGAGTCCCTTCATTACTACCTGGAAACTCTGGTCCAGATGAGAAAGGTACAGAATAAAAATCACCTGCATCTACCTTTACACTATGGCCTGTTAATTCAAAGACTGCTACTAATGGACTCCAGCTCTAAATACTTAAATGTGCTTATTCATATTTCAATGTGACAGTCATCAGTGAGAGGAAACACACTGGAGACAGTGACACAGAGCATTTTGATAAACGCTGCAAAGAGGGGGGACAGCAGGCCCTGCGGGAGTTGTGTGTGGAGGCCTTACCGCCTGTCTCTGTGGTGCTCTTCTTGTTCAGGATTTTCAGGATGTCTTTGGTGATCTTCTTCAACTGGTGCCGGGCCTCCTCGCGCTCCTTGCCCACTCCGTAGAGGAGGATTGTGCGCTGGTTACATTCATGACTCGAGGACTCATCCTGAAAAGCGGGGGATGTGGTTGTTCTGAAACTGTGCACAGGGCGGAGCTGCCCAGCTCAGTCTTGAATCCCAGAGCAGCACCTGCAGCCGTCCCTACCCTGTGGGACGCCTCCACCTCCACCAGCCATGGTGTTCCAGTCTGGAACTTGCTAAACCTTAAGAAAAAGGTGTCGACCGACCTGCAGTCTTCATAGGAGCATTTGATGTGGGCAAACAACACAGAGTAAGTTCTGACTACTGAAAAACTTTTCATTATTTAAAGCTAAACATGGTATTAATCTCATATCATGTAACATAACATCCAGTTGAACTTTTTCATAAAGGAAAATGGTATTTCTTACTAAGTTTGGTTTTAGGTATGCAGTGATGGTTTATGTTTCATATTTAGAGAAAAGTCCTACTAGGATTTTCAATACTGTAGCAAAATATTTCATTTACTTCTGACATGACGGTATGAGACATTTATATTTATTTTCAAGTGACAAAACAGTTAGGAGCGGGGGTCTCATTGGTGTGGTGGCTGATCCTAAGCCGCACCTGTTCTGCTGCCCCCTCACTTGCCTAGTGACCCTGCCCCACCCCAACAGAGAATGTGGCTCTTCTTCCCCCAAGGGAAATCATCTGGTCTTGGCCTTACAGAAGCGCGGATACACACACCACGGGGTGCCCAGCTCAGCCAGGGGAATATCCACCTGGCTGTGGGCGTTTTCCTGGCTCCCCAGCCCCGGCCCTGGCCTTCCCTGGCCTTCCATACCCTCTGCAGCCCCGCCCTTCATATGCCTCCTTTGCCATCGCCTGGCACATCTCTGTCCAGGCCAGGCGCTTTCCCTGCTGCCCAGCATTGTATTCTGAGGAGCTTGGGGGAGGAACACTTCTCCTGGGGACACAAGGGCACTGTGTCACCATTAGTAATGGCCGCAGCCAAGAGTGGCAGACTCCAGTGCCTGGGGCCCCAGTTGCAGGCCACTTACAGGGACTTGGCACCAACAGCACTTTGCCTCTGCAGACGTGAACGGAGCCTGTGCGTCCTGCAGCTATCACGTGGCTCTTTGCCTCCTCTATTCTGTCCCTCATTCCATGTGCAACGCCTGCCTCAGGGCCATGCCTCTTTTCTGTTATACTCTGCTAGAAGCCATTTACTTGTCCACCTTGCTCATCTATCAGGGAACTTGGGCTCAAATCTGAAAACTACAAACCTCGGGCAGGGCCCATCCTGTACCCTGGCAACTGCTTCCAGCTAAGGCTTCGTCAGAAGACCCTAACATAAATGTTTGTGTGCGGGGTGATGGGAAGACTGACCAAAGTCAACTCTACACGGCAGGCACCTCGGGCAAGACAACATGCTACAGACCCTGCCGCAGAGCCAGAAGTCCACACGGGGATGGTGGGGAGGAGGGCGATCTAGAACGGTCTCTGTGCTCATCACGACAGCACAGGACACTGGGCCGCATGCTGCACCAACAGCAGCCCAGCCCACAGTGATCGTGCCATGGTCACACCACTTGACGGCTCTGTGACCTGGTTAAAGAACCTTGTCCACTCTCAGTTCCTTCCCCTGAGAAACAGGGTACCACTGCCTTGCTTGTTGGTGTTCTGTGAGTGCCACTGAGATACAGGGTGTGATGTGAGATGGTGGGAGCCTCCTGTACACGGCTCCCAGCAGGTGGTTCCCAGTCTGGGTTCCGCCCTCACCCTGCTGCATCACTCAAAATTCCCCAGAGACCCTAGCATGGCTCCTTCCTTTGCTCTTCCTGCCTAAAACACTACCAGCAGCCTCCATCCATCACCCCTGCTGAAAGGCTGTGCACAAGTGCAGTGTCAGGTCCTCCACTCTGTCACCCAGTCACTGAGAGCCTCAGCACAGAAGGACAGGGAGGAGGGAGGAGAGCCAGAGCACTTCTCACAATGTCACTTGTTCATTTCTAGGTGTCTGTTCATTTCTAGGTGTCTCCCCAGTTAGAACACAGCTTTGTAAAAGACATATCTTGCCTGTTTTACTCATTCTTATGTTCTTAATAAGCACCAAGGTGGCTTTAATACCTGCTGAGTACATCACATAAAAAACTACATGGGCAAATGAATATATAGCTAAAGGGACTGAGCAAGAATGAAGGTAAGAACAAAAAACAGCTTTATAGGAAACTTCACTTGACAATTAAGTGCAGACAAAACTGTGGGCAAGAAGTGAGGGAAAAATAGAAAGTGTGAGCAAGAATGTTTGCAGGGAGCTGGACTCGCCTGCACCTGCAGCAGCTCGGGAGGCTGAGGCAGGACAGCGAGGTAGAGGTCAGCTGGGCAACTTATTAAAGAGTGTGTCTCATTTAAAAAAAAAAAAAAAAGCGCTGGGGAGGGTCCTGGGAATGTAATTGGTAAGGCAGCCCTGGGTTCAATCCCCAGGACAAAAAAAAAAAAAAAAAAAACAGCATAGAGAGCAAAGCCAGCTGTGGGGACAAAGACCAAGAGGAATCCGAAGGACCTTAGGGAAGGGTCAGGTGCCTGGGTCCAAGGAGTGAATGTACATCTCACTGGATTTTAAGAGGGAACCACTTGAAAAATTGATCAAGGAAATTGAAAGAGAGAAAAAGACACATCCTAAGGGCTAGGAGGACGTTATCTGTGCCAGGAAGTGAGGGTGATTGGAAGTGGACCACAGATGTGTTTGCGTTGGTACCAACTCAGGGACCCTGAGTCGAGCCCAAGCCAGTGTGGCAGATCCAGCAAGGTGCAGGACATCCACATTCCCTTCAGGAGGGGTACAGAGCCGAGAGGGCAGGACACGCAGAAGCCACCGTGGACGCACACAAGGCCTCAGAACTACACGTACAGTCACAGGCAGGCTCTCGAGAGCCAGGGAGCAGACACAGGAAACAGGATCGACAGTGCTGGACCAAGCTGTGGACAGGAGATTCTGGGGACCATCTGGGGACCTCAAACAGAAGCTGCTCCAGAGCCACAGCAGAAGGAAGCTGAAACAAGGGGTGAAGACCGCAGTGATGAGGGAGGTTGGAGAGGTGACCTGCACTGAGGAGGACGGCGTGGGCAGCAGCATCAAGACAAGGTCCACTTGGCCACCAGCAGCAGACGCTGGTCCCTCAGCTATCATTAAAATCTAGAACTGTCCTTAAAGGACATCAAGATCGAAGAGCAAACAACTGATGAGGAGACAGGAGGTGATGGGCTGGGGTCTGCGTGAATGTGGAGAGACAGAGGGACCACATTCAGGGAAAGAATGACTGCCATTAGAGTACCAGCTTTCAGAGAGAGCCCTCTTGCACATCGCCAAGCTGCTGTTTTTGAATAGGTTACAAGATGTGTGTATGTCAAATGTTGCACAAGTAGAAGACAGGAGACTCTTCACATGGCAATTTATATCAAATGAGAAGAAAGCCAAGCTACAAAAGGAACCAAACGTTCCCCAAGGCACCGGTGGGTTCCAAGCTTGCAGGGTTGCAGGTAACATGTAGGATCTGAGATCACCTCCAAGGTTTGCTCTATGGCTTATCTCCAAGGGATACAGTGAGTGGACAGGAAAGAACCACTGGAGAGGCTTCAGAAGTCAGGTCCACTCAGGCTGGCCCACCCAATGCAGGTCAAGTCCTGTTGTCTCGGCCCCAGACCAGTCACTCTCTCTCCCCGCAGCTACCACTTGCACCCACAGAGACTAAGGTGAGCAAGGAACTAGGGGGGTGCACACCCGAAACCTGGGGAGCCGAGTGCCCCATAGGAACAAAATGCGTGTCTTCAGCCTAACACCCCTGGAAGGATGGAGGAGGGCTATGGTTGAGGTCTTCTGGGAGCCACTCGAACCACTTTAAAATAAGTGATTACAGATGTGACTGAAATGTGTGTGTGTTCACAAAGATGGTGGCGAGTCTATGGCAGCTGCTTGTTTAATAATCACAGAATTCAGAAATTACTAAAGTACTAAAGAAAAACAAAAACAATCCCATTTTGAATGTGCTTCCTTTTATGCCAACCACTTGTGAAACAGATGAAATAGATGCAACTGCCCTGATAAAACGCTGCATTTAGCACTTCCCCAAAGTCCTTTCCTTGTTACGTGTCAACATTCAAATGGAAACCTGCGCACACCCTGGGAGAGCTGCAGGGCACCCTGCTACCTCATCTCTACAACCTCATCTCTACAAAAAGGAGTAAACACAGCTTTAAGAACAATAGCTTGGGCTGCGGCTGTGGCTCAGTGGTACAGCACCCGCCTCGCAGGTGTGAGACCCTGGGTTCAATCCTCAGCACCACATAAAAATAAATATATAAATAAACAAATAAAGATATTGTGTCCATCTACAACTAAAACAAAATTAAAGAAAGAACAATATCTTTCTTAAAAATGTTTATTAAAACAAAGAGCACTTACAAGATGCCTTTGAACATTATTTCTTTCAGCTCAATCTCTCAATGTCTCTCAAACTAATGTCTCTGGAAGAAAATAACCTCAAATGAATGTTGTGCCAGTAGCAAGCCCTCGCAGCTGGCAGGAAGAGGGTGTGTGGGTGAGGAGGCTGCGCCAAGGCACAAGAAGGCCGCAGCTGCTTCCCATCAGGACACCTCTGAGGGCGCGACCTTGCTGTGGATCTAGGGAGCAGGAGACAGGTCTGACTTGGTTACACGGGTCTTGTCCTACATCAGCTGAGAGCCCATGGTACACTAGTCCTCTGCTGCCAAGCAAAAACCAAAGGAAGGAGCATTCTCCCAGGCCGAGTACCCGTGCCCGAGGGTCTTTTGTGAATCTAACTCACACGCTCATACTCCAGGGGAGAAAGCTATGCCAGCTGTTGCAGTGACACCTTGCTTTAAAACATGTCCTGTGCCAGGTGCTGTGGCGCTTGCCTATAATCCCAGCAATTCAGGAGGCTGAGGCAGGAGGATCTCAAGTTCAAAGCCAGCCTCAGCAACAGCAAGGTGCTAAGCAACTCAGTGAGAACCTGTCTCTAAATAAGATACATAAAGGGCTAGGGATGTGGCTGGCTCAGAGGTCCAG